CCCAAAAAAAAAACAGCTCCTCCATATTTGGGCCTACATTTTAGCCGGCGAACGAAAACAGTGCGGCGGCATTTTCGCTTTGAGCCAAATCCAGGAGCAGCTTTCAGTGGCGATGCACTCGCCACAAAAATGTCCTATGAAGTAGTCGGCGACTGACCAACCACAACCTCTTGAACTTACGACCACACTTTAATTTATTAAAGCGCACTTTATAACTTGTTTTGCCAAGCAAATTACAGCGACAAAAAATGCATTTTTATTCGAGCTATTCAGACTCATAAGCTTCGTTTTAAGAAGCCTGAAGCTAGGAATCAAATTGCTAGATATGTGCTTGTTTAAGTAGTATTATTCATGTTACAGCCAGTACCATGTAACCTCACCACTAATTTCTCGCACCAAGCAGTTGTATTTATTCTAAGTGTGGCAAGTTGGAGCGCTGCTGCAGCCGCCACGCGTGCAACTCGCAGTCGACGGGGAATTGCAGCGGCCCCTGAGCGCAAACACATCGAATGGAGCGGATGGAGCGGATGGAGCGGATGGAGAGGAGTGGAGGGCAGTGCCGCTCCTCCAGAAAGTGTTAATTAGCAGCGCGCGTGCTAATTACCAATGCCAGTTGTGAGTGCAGCCAATGACAGCAGCAACGGCGGGAACTGCAACATGCAGCAGCCGCAACAGCAGCAGCAACTTCAGTTGCAACTTCAGTTGCAGGCGCAACTTCAGCGGCCATAACAACAATAAGAAATGGCGGGGGAAACGGCGCCACAAATGTGTAGAGATGCATCGCACAAAATTTAAATCCATTCAATTTATACGGCATGAGATTTTAAGTTGCGAAATTCCTTTGGGCCCACGTATATTCTAAAATATTTTAAATATTAAAAGATACAATTATAAAAAGTAGCCCGATAATATTTGTGTTTTTTAAGCAGACTGTTTGCCAAATTAATTAGATTCCCAAGTTTCCTAAGCTTATTCAAGGCAGTCCCTTTGCATTCGTGCTGGAATTTAAGTAATTTCGGCTTTTAGTTATCAACAATGTTTTGCTTAAGCTTTTTTCGCAAACAAATTTACCATTTCAGCCCAAAAGAGAGCTGCACATATTTAGTCCTATGATCAGAGCTGCCAGATCAGTGAAATTAGGTAAATTTCCCTTTCTGGCTGTCTAGCAGCGCTGTTAAATAACAGCGCGGGAGAACAACATAACATAATCGGGTAGAACAATTACAGTTATGTATTTCAACAGGCAGCAAAAAACAAAATATTAAACATTTAGCAAATATAAGTTAGCGGTATAAGTTTTGATTTGAATAGTTAATTCGGGAATTTGCAACGAACCACGTTAATTGCCCACCTTTAATTGGCGAGAAATTGCCCCTAAACATTATCAGCTGATCTCATTCGGATGCGCTATCAGCGCGATATCAACTTGCTGCTAAGCAGCCCTTATCTCCTTCGAAAATACTGATGATTGGATATTTCCTTTGCTCTGAAACAGCCTTGCTTATTAGGATCTCTTACCTTTCGCGCTCTGCCGTGATATGCACGTCCGCCAACTTCACACACAATTTTCTCGACACTGATCCTTGAATTGCATGATTTTTTGGGCCTGCCTGCTGCTACGGTACCGTCCCATATACCCTCGCCGGGATTGCACCACTGCGCCATTCTGGTCAGGAGAGGCGCCACTCAATGCCACTCAGTTGGTAATCACACAGCCACCGATTTTGCGGAGTTTTAAGTTTCGTTTTAAGAAGCCTAAAGTTAGGAATCAAATTGCTAAGGAATCAATTGTTTGCCAACATTATGTTGCTGAAACATGGGTTGCGAATGCACCCCAACTTGCCGCTACGTGTTGCTAGCAACTAACTGTTAGATACATTTGCAAAGATACATTTACAAATTTTGTAAGCCTATTCAATTTGCCCAGCTCTAAACTAATTAAACAGACTAATTGGACCAGACACTATTCATTTTTTTACTTCTTCATTTCAGAAAATTTGTAGCTCTTTGCCAAAAGCTTTTTGCTTGTAAACAAACGCAATACCTCTTATCATCTTCTTCGCTAGCGATAGAAAACCAATGTTAACCTATGCATGCATGCATACATACATACATACATACATACATACATACATACATACATACATACATACATACATACATACATACATACATACATACATACATACATACATACATACATACATACATACATACATGCATACATACATACATACATACATACATACATACATACATACATACATACATACATACATACATACATACATACACCGGTACATACACCGGTACATACACCGGTACATACACCGGTACATACACCGGTACATACACCGGTACATACACTACACATACACTACACTCACTGCTCGACCGGTAAGAGAGATGACTTGAACTATTTTGCGACTCGAAATTAGAAGACATGCCTTACAGTCCTCACTAGAACCAGTTGGGAATTATAGGGCTACAAGAAAATATTTTTCCTAAGCAAATATTATAAGCGGCAATAACTATGTGTCCGACAGTAAGTTAAACATTCTTCAGGCCTTAATTGAGACAATTTTTACTACTTTGTGCAAGTAACACATACACTACATACATACATACATGCATACATACATACATACATACATACATCATACATACATACATACATACATGCATACATGCATACATACATACATATTATTTGTACTCTGGCAATTAGTGATTCTTAGGTGCGCTGGACCTGCCTTAAGAATTCAATTTTGCAATAAACACGTTGCATATGAAGTTTTTTATTTATTTAGAATATTTATTAGTGCAAATTATTAGTATACAAGTAAAACAAATGCAAACTTATGTAAATTACCAATTTTCAGTATTTATACTGAAACTACATATATTATTATTATATTTAAATGCAAATATTATTTCGTTGAATGTTTTTGTTATATTCTAATTTGATATTTTTAAAAACCTCGCAATTTTAGCATTTAACAGTTCCATCTGATTGGGGAATCAACTGGATCTGGGGATGCGTATTTTCAACTGAATTGGTAACCTTTGGACACAAGCCGCAAACCGTGAACCAGGCACAAGCGAAGTCCTTAGTTACATATGCATATCTAGCGAGTCACGCGCGCGACTACGTTCACCTCACCTCAGTGGCCGCTTAAACCTGGAGAGGCCTATGAGGATCCGCGACCTGGCAGGCACGATCGGGCTAATATGTGGTGAAGCCGCCAGATTGGAAGGCGCATTCCACGTACGGATCACTTTACGGAAGTTGCATTCTACGTGCGGATTCCGCATACCACGTGCATATCACAAAAAGGGGAAATCATGACTAATTTGAACATTTTTCCAGGAGGGCGGGTATTGACCGGAAGAAACCACCATCTAAGTATTCCACTGCATGGAGGGCTTCATCGATACGTAACGCGATGGAACGATGGTTGTGGGTGGCGCCGTCTTTGGGAAACCTGGTAGGCCATCTAGCCGATTGAATCAGCAGATATCTGCAGATATAAATATGTTAATTTTGGCTACAAAAAAGACAATTAGGCCGACTCAGCCAATAGTAAGTCGAATTAGAAGTCCTCCGGTGCAGCCTCCCCTGACTCCACCAGAATCCCTGGGAATTCCAAAAGGCGACGACCGCTGCAGTGGCTTCCAACAGTCTTTACCATTTACCGCTAGTCCTGGCGCTGAAATTTAAAGTTGGATTAGTCTTATTCTTCTTATTAATATAAACTGTTTTAAGCTAACGTCCATCATGGTTAGTCCATCCGGAGCCAAAGTCGCGAGTCCGAATTGTCGTGGTCCTGCCGGTAAATTCGGGTCGTATGTACATATGTGTGTCCGCCTTCTGTGCAGTCATAAGCACCGCCAATATCCCAGGCCATTTCTACTTACCGGCTTGTCCATTTCAAGTTGATCTCGGGAACTGATGAGGGAATTGATGTAGATGTAAATAATTGTTCGAATTAAGTAAAGTAATCCTATCAGAATGTCGCCTGGAGCGACTCCGGCTTACCTCTAAGGGGTGCTGTCCCGTAAAATCATCCTGGCATCCTCGATTGGATGGCCTCAACATTTAATAAATTCCATTGTTTACCTTTGTTTTTGGTGATTAGAGATCGTAATTGTCTAGTGTTGTAAGACGTCGATGGTTATAACAACTTAAAAAAGAATGGGGCGTCAAAATGGCGTATGGTCTCCTGGCAATTCAAGATTCCGCTGTGGCTATAAAGCATATTTTTAAGCGATGTCCTAGAATCAAAATGTAGTAATTTTGCTATTTTAGTTTTCTAGCGGCACTGTTAATTAACAGTGCAGCTTATCAGCATTTCACACCACAGAACGTCACAGCTGTGGATGCTAATCGATATAACGTCGCGTGAAATAATCGATAGGTCACAATGAGCGTATACGCTTTATCGCGTATACGCACTATAAACAAACCATTTCACAATTTTTACGAACAGTGGTACAAAGATTCGAAATCAGGAGTGCAAATAATCCTTAAAAATAAATTGTCTGCCCAATAAAAAATAAAATACAAAAAACTGCTCTTCCAGAATAATTAATCACACAATATTTAGCATGTATTAACAAATTTGATAACTGTAAGAAGCACAAGCAATATATAACAAAATACAACTTATCTAACTTAAGTAAGTAACTTAAGTACACTGTAAAATTAAGATTTAAAACGCAGGAACAGAGTAACAACGAGTAAAATGAGTATAATAAAACGTATAAGAAAATAAAAATCCGTCTGTTATAAATAAATAAAGTACACGCTTTACCTATTGTAATTACGCATTTAGCCAGATTTATTTGCCAAATGTGCACAAGCAAAAACAAGCAAGCAAAAACGAGATCGGAGAGAAGAGCAAAGAGAAAATAGCAAAGAGTAATAGCAAAGAGAAATAGCAAAGAGAAAAACGGCGTAGGAAATATAAATAAAAATTTTCGATTTGGCAAGCTTAGTTTGCTGGAAACCTCCACTGTAATCGGTTGTGTGCTGTGCTCCCCCAATTTACCAATATTATCACCTTAAAAGTGGCATCTCAAACAAAACACAAATACGCAGCACTGCTAAAAAGACAAACAACGGGGTTAAATCAAAAAAAAAAGAACACAAAAAAAGAGACCAACGGGACAGACTGGCGGTCAATTGAAAAAAATAGTACAATGAAGTTTTATTTTTGGATCGGTTAGACTCTCGACAAGTAAAGGTAATGGCAAATCGAGTCCAAAATATTCATACTCGTAATCTGCGTAGGCCAAGCGACCTAATTTCGGCGCTAATGCCTCTTTTGCTTGTTTTTCGCTAACTTGATAATTTGGTCTGCTTTTTACTTTTGCCATTATTTTGAATGGCCATTGTGAAAAATATGTGCTGCAAGTGCGAAAGATGAAATTTCGTACGCTGCTTCCTTTTTAAAAACTGGCAAAACCGAGGGCCTTAGCTTTTTGTGATATAACATTTGAGGGCGAATCGGTCAAATGCACTTTCAGATATGCACGTGTCGGCGGATTTTGTCTTGGCCACCAACTCACTTGCTTGCACTCACCGAAATAATAACACTCATCTTGCAAAAAAGTGTGTTCGGTTGGTCACAATAGCACAATATAGATTTGTGATACATCGTGAAATGTCTTTATTTGTTGCGCGGTCTTGCATCCAATTAATTTCACAAGTGCAAAAAACTGCAAAAAAAAGGCCAAATTGCAACATAGTAATATTTTGATCGGAAACGTATATACTTCACAGCCATCGGAAAATGCTGAAACGCTGAAATACAGGAAAACCCAAAGGCGCCCATTCGGCATTATTCTTTTGGCCCAAGCTGTGTGCATCGGCTGGCTTTCCATGTGCCTGTTACTTATATCAAAATGAAGAGTTATCAGGCAATCAGTTTTGGCATATGTTATAACACACTTATCGTGCGAATCGCAGAACACAACGCAGGTAGCGTGTATGAGCTGTAATCAGAGTGTACTTGGGAACTTGGTTACAACTTCGTGGTAATAAGCCTTCAAATCTCAGGAAGCAGACTATTGCCAAAGAATGAAAAAAAAAATGATTAGATAAAAGTGCATTTCAGGGTCAAACAGCGAGTTGTTAAACCGCAAGCGTTTAGGCTGAAACGAAAGACGTTAAGACGAAAGTAAAATACTCGTTGAATTCAATAGAGAATGCAGTGATTCACATATATTTGATTTTCGTGTGTGGCGGATGTACAAATAAGATTGGATATACAAGATACGAATGCACTGCCAGACAAGAAAAAGGGAACCCGAGTCGAAATATTATGCAGTTGGTTTTCAACCGCTGCGCTGTTCAGTTCCGCGGTCGAGATAGAAAAAGTGTTAGCTCTTACCAATCCAAGCCAAGCCATCTAACTGATTTATGATTTTTAAACTTTTATCCTTGCAGATAATAAGTGCAGCGCAACTAAAAGAGCAGAAACACGCATTTCAAATTATCACAGTAAATTGAAGATATATATACGTTTATATATTGACTCAGCCTCTGGACTTTGAACGAAGTGCTCACGTGAGAAATGGCCAAGCTAATCATAATTTGCCTTCTTTTATGGATTCTAAACGCATGGGGTGAGTGAATATTGTTCCGAATTTAGTTCATCAATGAAGTGAATCACTGCCCTCGGAAAATTCGAATATTGTTTTTCCGACTTTGGCTTTTGTTTACTTTGACCCTATTGAGATTGAGATACTTGCCATTAAGGAAAAACAGCGGAATGCCTACGTCACGGCAACAGCCTCATAAGGCTATATATATCGCTTCGATCCATCTCATGACGCGTCGAAAACTATCTATAGCGTCGGATTTGGCCATATGCCACATGCGAATCTCCCCTCCGTCTTGTTCTTTCTTTGCGTACCGATTTTTGAGTTTCTTAGTTTTTTTCGCCCAAAAAACACATGTTGCCGCGGCAATTTTCTGGTTTCTGCTTTTGTTCTGTTTTTGTTTTGGCTTTATTTCTGAATTTCATTGATAATTCAAATGCCCGCGTATTATCTAAGTTTGTTTGTATTTTCGGTTGTATTTCTTTGCGCTTCACTTTACAACTATATTTCGTGTTTTTGGGGCATTGCTCAAAATATTGTTTATTTGTATTCAATTTGTTTTTGTTTGCCTTTCGCTGGCGTGTGTTTTTCTATGAACCGAAATGACCTTGATAGTGGGATATCGAAGGCTATTTCTTATTGAACAATATTACCTGAAGTGCGTCACAAAGATGCTCATTTTTTGGATATTCCTTGAAATTTGAAGACCAATTTTAAACCATGTAAATATCACTTTTAAATGGACATGGCAAAACTATGATTTTTATTTGCAAATACACACGGCAGATAGCACTATCGCACTCGGGAACATTATTTTAAGTAAAGCTCCTATTGACTTTGTGATTAATGCTGAAAATAGCTGGGGAGCACTTTCCACATACAGCCATATAAAAAGCCGATATAAAATATTTCCTCGCTCCACTAGTGCAAATATTTATAGATATCGCGGTGGAAACATGTGTTAATCTGCTGAAATCTAATGAACTTAACCTTGAGTTTGGAGTGGAGTCTTGATTTTTATAGAAAGCCCAGGAGTGGCAAAGCACACTCTTATGGAATTCCATCTGCGGCGGTTCCTTATCAAATTGGTGACAAACGGCAGATAGTCTGTTCTACAGCGTGTTTGTTACGTATACATAGTTTTTAAACTCACACAGACCCATGGAGTCCAACTGGCAGTTGTTGTTGCCGTGTTTGCCTAGCAAATTCCATCTTGATGAATACGATAAGTGAACTTAGAGTAGCCAGAACGAAGGCAAGTTTGTGTCGATAAAGGAACGCTTAACTTTCCCTGGCAGGCCGGCCCCACGAATATTTTTCCATTACCTGATGAAATCGTAATTCGCCGTTCGTGCAGGGCATCTGGCCAAAAAAGTGAAAGTGCACTTTGAACAAAATGGAGTAGTTGGAATTTTCAAAAATAAACTACTGCTCAAGTAGTTCCACTAACTAGTAAGATTACACGTTAGGTAAATAAGAGTTCACATCACCTAGTTAAATAATAAGTAAATAAAGGTTCCTACCACCTAGTTAAATGCTATGTGTTGCACCTAAAAATTCGCTTCAAGTTTTGTTGCTTCTAATTGGAATTCATTGAAAATTTCAAAAATTCAAACAATTCTTTGCAAACCGTTCATATACTCGAAGTAATTCTGAGTGCATTTGCTTCCGGCGAACCGCTCAGAATGTTGCTGGCTGACTAACCCACTAAGTGAGCCATTTAGAGCTATACTTGTATTTTTACCCCAACCAGTTACTAGGGGTGGCTGGTATATTTTGGCCTAGAATTCCCGACTGTACTGGTTTGGGTTATGTCACCAAACCCCGCCATTTCAGACTTTTCGTTATGGCAAATGCAAATGCGAATGAAAATGGAAATGGAAATGGGTGGACGGAAACACTGTTCCTTTTATTTAATGGCTGGCCTTGGCAAAGGTTTTCCTTTTGTTTTTCTCCTGGCCAAATACGAAGTATGACCCATTCAGACACCCAAATGAGCAATAGACTTTGAACACTTGGCTTTTTGCGCCGTGCTGAGGAATTTCAGATGAGAGAAGGAATCTGTGATCATGACATTGCAGACTGATCTAGTGAAAGGCGTATGTTTATATTTTTGGTTTATTCGGTTGGGTTTGCTTTTTTTGCATCTTGATAAACGCTGTTCTATTTATTCTTTGCTAAATATCTTTTGTGGGCCAGACTCACGTCATTTCTTAATTTGATTGGCCAGCACTTGAAAAGGGGCCTGAGCGTTCTTAATCTATTTCTCTGCACTCGCATTATCAACGACTGAGTGTGTTTAAAATATAGGAACGAGTTGGGTATTTGTATACTCTTTAATCTAATTGCCATACGCTATCATATATTATAATTTAATTTAATTATATAATACTATTATTTCTTGTTTTCCGCGTAACGCATATCATTTAAACAGTGACTTCTGTCTGCTTTGAACATTTCATGTTTTTTGGCGACGTGCAGAAGTCACAAAGCCAGTTTACAATCCATTAAAACCAATTAATTGATAGTTTTCGGCTATGGGATTTCTGCTACAGCTGAGAATTTTTAAAGTAGAGGAAATCTGCAAATCCCCTATTTATATAGGTGATACCATATGGATAAAGCTCTTGTATTCATTTTTAATTAACAGTGAAGTGCAGAAATCATTCAAGCCTCCTGAAGTCGAATTCCTCGACCATGAATCATGGTGTTTGAAGAAAACTGGATCAAAATTTGAAAGTCATGACAATGAAATTTCTCGGGATCTATAGATATTCATTTATTATCCACGAGTCATAACTTTTCCACCTTCACCCAATACCGAGTAACCCAGATAGGAGTCTAATCTGAATGTGTACCAGCGAATAAATCCCATGCCAAAGCTATTAGTCATTCGAGTTAGTCATGGAAACTCACAAATATATTGATGTACATAGGTATTTGCGCCTGGTTAATGTGCTTTCCTTTTATGTTTTCGTGCTCTTTTGAAATATTTTCTCTTTACGATCGTCTCATCACCTCGGCATCCACACTGGCCCTGATCAGAGCCATGTTCCTGCTCAGCTGAAAGACCAATTTCGTGTTGAACTTCATGTCCGGCATGTAGGCCGGAAAGTGATCCGGATTGAGGGCAAATCGCGTGGACGTATAGTTGACATTCTGCGGATTAAAATGTGGAAAACAACCTGTTGGTTAGCGATATCTTTTGGCATTATCGATTTGGGTTTCATTCCGAAAAAACGCTCTGGTTTTCTCGTTTAATGCGCATTGGATTTGTTTATTTGATTTTGTTTACTTTCTGTTTTTTAATGACAGCGCTGTATTTTTGAACAGCCGTTTATATTGCTTTGTTTATTTGCGGGAATATTGGACTTATTTGTTGCTCTATCCACGCTCAGCTCGTAAAGATAAAGATCTTGGGAACTTTTCATAAGATTTTGACTTTGAGTAGGTCAGAGAAAGGTTGGTATTACAGAATGTTATTGAAAATCGTTTTTATCGAAGTGTGGTTTTCTTATTTACCATTAACTTATCTCAATCGTACTTAAAAGTGGATACAATTATAAATAATAATATTCCCTCTTTGCGAGGCATGCTTTTTCCGGAATAAAGGTGCGGCAACCAATTTTTTTCTTTGGCATCTACCATTTTTCTGCATTGTGCATTGCAACTTGACTTGGGTTGCCAATTATGAGTGCGCAAGATAACTTAACAAAGATAACTCTTAACTTACCGCCAATAGGGGACAGGCATCTGGATAATTTCCCGATTGCAAGAGTTTTTGGAGCACGGCATTCAGAACTCGGTTCTTGCTGCGAAACTGTATCAGGTGACAGCCATCCACTCGAACTTTGAAAAGTTGCTGCAGAAGACGGTCCTTCCGGTTGGCGATCTGCCCCACACTCAGCTCCACCCACATTTTTGGGATAGCTCGGCGCAGCAGCAGCAAGGTATTCAGGAAATTTCCCTGCTTCTTCGCCATTTCCACAATATCGCACTCAAAGATCTCCACGGTAGTGGGGTCTATGACCGAACAGTTGATGTCCCGCCAACGTATTTCGAAATCGCGCTACAAGTGGGGAGCCATTAAGCAAATGCGCATCATATGCCGAATCTATAAACCTAGGACTTAGTCACGGGGGCCACTTTTGGCCAGGAAAAACAGAAAGTGCATTTCATTTTCCATTTTGACATACTTTGGCGTTTAAGTAGACTGTTTGCTTGAATCATTGATATTTACAGAACTAATAAGTGCTGCATACCTACTCTTTAAAAATGAATATTGTATCTTTGAGTAAACAACCATATGTTCTGGGCTGGCATTTTGTAACCTAAACATTTGTAGTTTGTTTATTGTTTTCAAATATTCCGAACTTGTTCGTACAATGACTTTTTAGGACTTAGTTGACATTATTTGTCTTTGTTAGTACATATAAATTCCGGTTTTGTATATTATAAATCACATCTGTACGTACGGTTGCCATAGACGGCTGCCATAGGATCGGCCAAACCAGACAGCATAATAATAGTAATCCCCTCAGATAGGCGTCAGTCATCATACTAACGATGGCCATCGAAAGGCACACATTGCGGCCCCAGCGCAGTAATTATTAAAATAATTATTATTATTATTTTGTATAGAAAACATATAAATTCAATATCGGCGCACATCTGTTCGCCTGCTCTCATTCTTGTGGGCTGAAAGGGGAGTTCGGAAATGTGCGGGTGGGGTTCTGACATTAATCAGTCATTTTACGCCAGGCCGTATAATTTAATTGTAATTGTGCAATTTGTACAAAATAATGCGAAATAATCACCGCGAGACATCCATACCCCATCGTTTGTTTTCATTTTGCATACGAAATAATGTGTGAAGTCGAGTTGCGCTATATCGTCTAGCTTGTTTGTTTGCTTTACTTATTATAAATGTGCTCAAATGCATTCCTGCCGGTTTTGATTCAATTAGCAGTGGTCCACGCATTTGTATATAACCCACAAGTTATACAGTTGCGCCTCGCATTAGTTAATTTTGAGTTACATTTGGCATTTGGCGCTCACCCTTCCGCTTCCCATATGGCTGACTTCAGTTTGCACTTATAATTAATGAAGTGCGGTATACACATATGTGCGGAATACACATTTGGCTGGTGGAGCATGGTAGGCAGACCCACTGCCATAATTGATCTATAATTAAGATAAGGTTTACTACGCCTGTCGCCGCCGGCTTAAACGGGACCAAAAGGCAGACCAATAGACAAAAAATAGAAAGCGTTGAGCGTACGAAATGTTTGGCTTACGCGCTTCTAGCCATTAGTTAGCCACTTTATAAACTTCGGGGGGCATGTATCAAATGGTGGCAGCAGAAGGAAGGAAGGTGAATGGTAAATGGATAATGGGTAATGGGTAATGCTAACCGTGAAGTGAACTGAACTGAACTGAACTGAACCGAGCTGAACTCCCTTAATTGGTAGCTATGCGGAAAGCATCAAATCTGGAGTGACGAACGATTATTTGCTCTACATGCTGGCGATTAAATGAAATCGCATAAATTACGCTTACTTAGGACGTGTGAGAGCGGTTCGGAAAAAGATTAATTGCTTTTTGTGCCGTTAGAATGAAGGAAATTTTCACAAAACAAATAAAAGAAGAAATACATAGTAGTACTGATTAACGCAGGTCTGATGTCACATTTTCGCTTTAATTCGGGTGCGATTAAATCTCATCTGTCATAGTTTATTTTAATTTTGAAAGCTTTTTGTTTACGATCACATAAGTCAATGGCAGCGCTACAACCACAGTTAAGTTGCTAAAATAATTAACACGGGAATAAGCTGAGTTTAAATGGGATTTATTTTTTAATAAATCATACACGGTTGGACGATTTTCAATTTGATAGGCACATTTTTGGTTATGAGTTTTATATGATTGAGTGGCTCCTCTAGTAATAATTCAGCTTATGTTTTATTCAATGGGTTTGGTGGGTTGTTTATTGTTTTCAAAAAAACCAGTTCACAAAGGCTTCACCTTAAAAAACTGATATCTATCTGTTTCTTGCCCTTAAAAGATGGTCCATCCAATTCGTTTTCTGGGAGTGATTCTCCTAGACTTAATTCACACTTTTCCGTGACTCATTCAACACTGTGATTCATGGCTAGTAAATCACGGCTAAACGAATTGCTGTCTTCCTGGTTTACGGGTTACTAAAATCACCGCTTTATGACTGCCTTAATGACCAAAAATTCGCGTAAAATGCCATAAAATGTACGAAAATATTATAATTCCCTGCGGGGAATTAGAGTCGCCATCAGCAAATTATCAAAGAGACACTTTTTCAATGTTCACGGTGATTGACATGAATGGGCATAGTAGAAATAAGCGGAAAATGTCAAAAATAAATAGTTTCTCATGTTTTTTTTCGCTTGAAGCAAACTTGAAAGGTATGTAATTACTCCATCAACAGTTTGGTCTTTGTCGCTTGTAACGGCTAACATCTTGCGGCCTGTCGTACCCCCACTTTCGAAAAAGACGACATTTAGATAGTAGTTAAAAGTAAATGGCGACCTCCTTCCTTTGATTTTTGTTATTTTAGTATTTGGTCGTGTAATGTTCGTTTTGTTTGGTTTAAGTAACTTTGCATGTCAACGAGCGTGTCAGGAAAAACGAAAAGCAAAAATAAGCGACTGCTAATTGCACTGGAATTTATTTTCGCCGTATCTGTATCTGGTTTTTGTGAGCTGCTCCTCAGCTTCCCTGCCTGAATTGCATTTTTGCATGCCGGCCTTCGGCTGTAGATCAATCAAAAAGAAATATGGATCGCCTCGTTCGCAGCTTCAAAGTATCCGTATCTCCACATCGCTGTGTCTGTATCTGTGTATCTGTGGCCAGACCGGTGACGTAAGTGGGCAGTAGCACTTCTGCTTCTGCTCCCCTATAAAATCATCATAGCCAAAACCAAAACCATAATGATCATCGTCGTCGCCAGAGATCTCCGCTAATGAGCCCCGACCCATTTACTTATAAGGCGGATATGTGCTTAGGTAATTTGCATTGAATTTTTGTAACCTTTGGAACCTGGATGCCTTCCACAACACCCCACCGTCTCATGTCTCGTTTTTTTCGATTTTTTGCTGACCCAAGAACGATAAAAAGTTACCACTATCCGCGGGGGTCAATAAACCCGCAGTGCAAAGCAACAAATAAATACCAAAAACGAGGAAAGCAAATTGTTCCCTGCACATGGGTATTTATTGTTGACTAGCTAAGCATTAAGATATATGTATATACAACTCTTACTAGAATCCAGATTCAGAATGAATTCTTTCCGTACTAGTTGAGTCTGAGTTATTTTTGCTGGTTTTGCAAAGCTATTATCGGGGAAATACAAGGAAGTTCCTTGCCAAATTATTGAATCGCCAAAACATGAGGAATGCAGTTATAAATGTTGTAAATGTAACACGACTGTGTTTATTCTGGTCTCTTATGAGTAGAAGCTTCTATCTAGATAAGTAATCTGCTCAAGGTACTCGAACTATGTACTCCTATCGATCCACCACGCACACTTTCCTGACATTCGCAGCGCCCTTCTATGCGCTTCTCAAACAAACGAGTACTGTCACGCACACAGAACCAAGCATATGAATAATTGCCCCGTCTGCTTGCTGTCATATAGATCGCTGCGACCTGATAGCCGAAGAATAAAGCCAGAACGACGAAAGCAACAACTTATATCTATTTTAAATTACGTTCAATTAAGTGCGCTTCACCTACAAAGTCTGCGACAGTGACGTCAATATCGAAAATAATTGATAACCTTCGATCACGATCGGGAAGAGCTTGTAACAGACTAGCACTGATGGGGCGCATTTTTGTAACAAACTTTACCACACCACCAAAACCAAAAACACACGCAATTGGGGCAATATTCGTTCAATGAATCGACGATCCATATCGATACAATAAGAGAAGGTCTTCAAATCTTTCGGGTTTGTTTGGTAGAGCACTTGTATATCTACTTTTGTTTCTTGGCATTGTTATTGTTCTTTATCATTCGTATTTCTATCGCTCTGGCGCCTTCTACCCCCTTTTATACATAATTCAATGATAAAATGTCAAAAATCAATAACAATAAATAAATGATAAACGAGAGTGTCACTCCCGTACTTTGTATTCCACCAAAAATAAATATCATTCCGTTTATTTTGATTGGATTTCTGCTTTCTTGAAGAAGTTTCCTATAAGTGTGCCTAATCAAATTGCCATTTTTATAAATTTACCTCTAGGTTTATTGAATAATTCATGGCTATTTGGCTTGCTGGATGGAATGTGATTTTCAAGATCGATCGATATGTAAATATTGAACTTGAAGGGCAAATCAGAACGGTTTTTTGGGTCTCCTTGGAGTATCGTATTTCTGTTCTGGGTAAGAACATAGTGGCTTTCGATATTTACTAATCAAATTTTAAAATTATGTAAGAAATATATAGTTTAAAAGTTCAAGACTATAAAGAGGGCAGTTTGAATTGGCGGTTAGATGGATTGATTCTGTACTATTCAAATACCCAATCACTTCTTTTTAAATAAGCTAATCTTTATTTAACACTAAATTCTAATAAATTATTTTATTGATTCCAGCTATTCCCATTATTGACCCAGATAGTATAGACGAGTCCCTCACGTGTCCACCATGTAATAATGACTTTCCCATCTGCCACAAAGTGATCGTGGAGGTGGACAGGGGGAATGGAATGCCCGGAAGCTGTTGCCCTCGCTACGAATGCCTCGATGAAGAACCTGTCTGCGACGGTTCCAAAAGGAGATTCTATAAGAACAAATGCACTGTGTGCGATCCTTGCGAACCGCTGGCCATTCAATGCAAGGAGATATGTCCAATGGAAGAACCCGAACCCATTTGCTTGACTGACAACAATGAGTACAAAAGAAATGGTGATGATTGGATGGAAAACGACGGTTGTACTACATGCACTTGCCTAGGTGGATATGTCTCCCGTAAGGCTGTTCAGTGCAATCATTTATATCCGTGCAGCAATCCCATTAAGGTCAAAGGACAATGCTGTCTGAGATGTCCGGAAGAACTCGTGAGTGACGACATTTTTGACGACAGCACTCAAAAGTATACAAATTTAGAAACTTCAGCTTCATATTACCATGAAAGTGAATCCTCCAGTTCAGGGAGTAGCTCCACGGTGCCAACAGTTAATTCTTATTCCGTTCCAAGCCCAAGCGGTTCAACCAATAGCCCATCTACATCATCTGAAATGGCCACACCCACTCCGAATACAAGTGAATTATCCAGTTCCACAGAAAATTCAAGTACAGATTCCAGTTATGAACAAGTTGGAGGTTTTGCCACTTCCGAGTCGCCGGATCTCAAAACCGACTCAGGAGAACAAGAAACTACTAGTTCTGATTCTCCCATTGAGACTACCACAAATTCAACCACATCCGACGATCTAGAAACTTCCTCAGTTTCAAGCACCTTAATGGAACTTCCCACTTCAACAGAGGATGGTAACACCAATATGGCTTTTGATGCTGATAAAAGAACAGCGAACATCTTAGATAATGCAACTAACTTCTCACTGGTGACCGATAATCCCATCACGAATCAAACGGCTGTCGTAACCCCCGAGTCCACCAGTCAGATTAAGGATCTCAACAGTATGGAGATCCAGCAAATAACATATCCCTATGCAGAGGTGCCCCAGGAGCACATCCAAACCGATTGGCATTGGAATGTCATTGCATTTGCAGTTATAATGGTGTTAACTATATTATTAGTGTTGATATGTCTTTATGCCATCGTAAAGAGATATTCGATAGGCAAAAAATACCAGGCCATACCATTAAATCCAGTTCGAAAGTTAAATGAAACTGAAAAAACAAAGGCGGAGCAGAAGTTGTGATTCCTACACAGAGAAAATTATATTTCCAGGTTGCCATCTCAGTTCATCATTTCGTGTTTTCTCTGTGTGAATTCCATCATCCTGCAGACTGATTATTGATCTTAAAAATTATACCAAAATAGTGGAAGAAGTCTGCATGTTAATACTACTTAGGAAATGAAACTATACTTTGTCGTCAGTCAAGAGATAAGCACACAATTTGATCTTAAAACTATGCTCAAATCAATAAATAAAGCGATTAGGTTTAGCAGTAGGAGTTAAGCAGTTAAGAAATACATTATTAATAATAATTGGAAAGTATTAGTTTGATTGTAAATTATAATTACTGTACAACCAGAATTATTGCATTAGAGTGATTACATATCAAACGCTCGCACTCATATAATTTTAAATTATTATACCGAAAACTCATCAACTACATTCATTCCAAAGCATATAAAATAAAGAAAAAGAAACCAAAGCTAAACGAAAACTACAATGTTTTTGACAATGGGAGTCCCTTTTTAGTCCCCCCACAAATAAATTATATATAACAGGGGAGTCAATATAAAAACCTTCGAATATTTGGAATATTTGACTTCCACCTGTAATAATCACTTCTTTACCTGATGGAAATATGGTTATAAAAACGTAATATTGTACAATATTTAAATTCCTCTTTTTTGTTAATTTAAAGACAGTCTTTTAGAAAATAAAGGTTGTTTTGTTTTTATTTAGGAGACGGAGATAGTTTTCAACTTCTCAACTATATGCGTCAGCACCTCCGCTGTCGTGGAATCCGGAAGCTCATCCAATACGGATGTGGTGCTGCCCGCCAAAACGCCCACTCGGGGATCTATGGGCAGAGTTCCGAGATGTGGTACTTGGGCGTAAGTAGCCAGAGAGGCGCCACCGTTAGACGAGAAGATATTGGTGCACGAGGTGCAGTGGGGGCACACGAACCTGCGAAAATCAAATATAAGATAAAGCCCTGTTCTTAACTTGACGCGCAGAGGCGTCCTATAATATCCTATATTTGCTTTTCTAAAAAGTCAGCATCAAGTACGGTCGAAATGTTTATCAGAAGTTTTTAAAACTTTTTTCAGTTGGGTAAAAGCTGGCTCTCGTTCGCCTTACACTGCAGTTACCTATATTTTTCAATTTATTACGGACACCTGAACATTAAGCCTATTTTGATGGACGAACTGAGGTTTAACCATCTCAAAGAACTCACCCGCTCATATTCTCAACGATGCCCAAGATATTGATGCCGGTCTTCTTGCAAAAGGTGATCTCCTTGCGCACATCATCCAGGGCCACCTCTTGCGGAGTGGTCACAATAATGGCTCCGTGGCATCCCACCTCCTTCAGGCATTCCATGACGGTGATGTGCTCATCCGAAGTGCCGGGTGGAGTATCGATAATTAGGTAATCCAGCTCATCCCATCTGACATCGGTGAGGAACTGACGGATCATCATGGTCTTTTTGGGACCACGCCAAATGACCGGATCCTCACGGTTCTTCAATAAAAACCCAATGGACATCACCGCTAGGGTTTGGGATTCATCCGTATAGACAGGAACCCATCCCTCGTCGCACTGAAAGATATCCCGTCCTTCCAGACCCAGTAGATATGGCACACTCGGTCCGCACAGATCTATATCCAGCAAGCCAACCTAAAAGATCACGCACATTAGTACCTTTAAAAATTCCTGTGTAATATTTTGTGGTGAAATGGTTTACCTTGAATCCGTTTTTTCGCAGTGCCAGAGATAATTGAGTGCTTACTGTGGATTTTCCTACTCCGCCTTTTCCTGATAGAACTACGATAATATTTTTAACCTTCTCCAGCATTTTAAAAGGATTTAAATGCTATTTTTCCGAAGTCTATATATCGTGGATTGCTTTTTGGTCAACAAGTTCCATCAGCTGTTTAGGGCTACAGTAATAGCGTTAGGGGTGTTCCTGGATTCCATTATCTAAGCTGAGTAATTTTGTTGCGTGACCTTTGGGTATGTTGGCAAGCTTTTTATTTTCAGATATAGTCATTTTTAATTATCTGTTGGTAAGCAACAATTCATTTGATTAGAATTAACTTATATAGGTAAACAACAAACGAATTAAGTGCATGAAGATACAGCAACGCAATACAATTAAATATCGTGTTATAAAACTAGGTAAAAACATTATAACCGCATTGCTTTGGGAATTCGTTCTGCAAAAATATATAACATTATTGTCACTATAAGTTTGCCGGAACACCCCCAACGTTCCGCACCTCATCTGGCAACGCTCCTGTTATCAAGTCACACATTTCAGCCTTCCGGCAACACCACCGCCGGCAAGTGTCGATTTTTATTGGTCCAAGTCGCGCGCAGCATGTTAATTGACAACAACGGACGGTAGCTGGCGAATGATAAAATAAACGTGCGTCGACCGAACGCGAAACGAGGATCCAGGAGCCGTGCCCACGCCATAGCAGTCGAGGACACCTGAGCCGGGCGCCACAGAACGCGCTGCGAGGAGACCAGAGAGTGGGAAGCCTTGGTGGAATCGAATCGAATGTTGCGCAACCTTCTGTCCCCGCATGTACTTAGCCACCAAACCGATTCCGAATCCGATTCCGAGCCAGCAACCACCTAACAACAACCACATCACGCCATCCGCTTACACTTGATAATCGAATTTAGTTAGGCGATGAAGAAGCGCACTAATTCACGTGGCACACCGACCTCGTCGGGCGATGGGGTACTGCCCACCAGCTCCTCCTCCGCCGGCGACGCTGAGAGGGATCATCCTGCCTACAAATCGGGAGCAGCCAGTGCCCCGGCCACGCCCACCAAGCGGCGGGATGGTAGCGATGGCAGTGGCAGCAGTGCGGGCGCACGGAGGAAGCGAAAAGATGAGATCGCCCAGACATTTGTGATCGTCAACGAACGTCCTGTGGACGACATATCGCTGGACTTCTTCTACAAGCCACACACCATCACCCTGCTGGCTGTTTCGGTGCTCGCCGTCATGTACTTTGCGTTCGTGAGGTGAGTAAGGGAGCCCATAAACCCGCAGGAAACCCCATTGTGAGCACTGGCAAAGAAAGACTTAGTTGGTATGAAAAGGATTTCTGTGGGCATACCAATGAAGGTTCTTTAATCCTTAAAGGGGAAACTACCTTTAGAGGCCGAAAAAAAAGTCTTTGCAGTCCCTTTGAAGTGAAATGAAGACAAATTCGTTTTAAATCCTTATATTTATTTAGAGTTATGCCTGAGGGAAAAAAAGACTTTTTTCAAAAGTTAAAAGTGAAAGTGAAGAAATAAACAAACCAAATATTTTCTTACTCCGGAAGGTTTTTTGCCGTCGATGAACTTAAATCTTTTCGGGATTCGAAAATTATCCCTGTCAAACAAGCTTCGTAAAACAAAATTCGGGATTTTCACAAAAAATGTCGTTGTAATTGCTGTGAAAAGTGGTCTAAATATGTTTTTTTTTTAAATCTTTAGTCTATATAGAACAACTATTTATGTTCTTTATGTTCTCCGCGCCAGTCACTTCCGGAAGACATCTCTTCCACAATTTCAAGAATTACTTTTTGAAACTTAGGGTTTTGTGGCCTCATTAACTTCATAAAAAAACTGTTAGTTTGGAGTTTGTAGTTAAAGGTACTTTGTACCGACTGAATCTTAAGATATGTCAGCTTTCACTTAATGAGGGCTGTCCGAAAAGGAAAGAGTTCGTAAATCCATTTCTGACATTACTGATTACCCTATGAAAGGTACGTTACGGTTCTACAGTACTGGCCTTAATTCTTATCGGTATTACATAACTGATCTGTATTAAATCCCCTTGGTAACAATAGTTTATTTTCTATTGGTTGGTAACAAGATAGACCTAATTAAATATTCAATCTGTCAGCATCTAGAAAAGGTTTCTTGGACGAACACATTTTACTAAACATTACAATATTCACATAATTCCAATGATTTTCCTTCCACCACCAAGCCGAAAACGTTGACCTAAGATTCTTTTTAATCAATAAAGACCCCTTGTCTTAAAAAAATATTCGAGAAATACATCAGTTGTTGTACAGGTGTTAAGCACTTAAATATATCACGAATACACTGCCAAAAGTGTCAACTCAGACAGCCCAAGGCTCAAAAAACCAAAATAATATATATATATGTACATATATATATATATATATATATATATATGCGCTAGACTAGCGAACAGTATATGTAATTAGAATCGCCTAAGACACATACGAAATGTACTCGACGTTCACTTCATCGTGCCATTGACCCCCAAACCCCATCTAAAAACGTGCTATGCTGATAAGGAATACTATGACTGAAATAGTATCGCTAATGGAAGCCAAGATCATCCACTTAGCAATGCAATTTCGTTACAGAAACGAGGCTAACGTGGATGAGAATCTCTGGGCCGGTCTCCTCTGCATTGTGTTCTTCTTTCTGATCATCTCGGTGATTGCATTTCCCAATGGACCCTTCACAAGACCCCATCCCGCCGTCTGGCGAATATTATTCGGTTGTTCTGTGCTGTACCTGCTGACGCTACAATTCCTGATGTTCCAAAACTATCCGACTATCAGGAGCATATTCTACTGGATCGATCCAAAGTTGAAGAACTTCCACATCGATATGGAAAAGGTAAGTTGTTCGTCAATATGAACTGCCTAAAACGTAACCATCAATTCCATCATTTCCAGGAATATGGCGTCAATTGCTCGGACATTAGTTGGGATCGTGTTAAAGGTCACTTGGACGTCTTTGCTTGGGGTCACTTCTTGGGCTGGGCCTTTAAGGCCATCCTGATCCGTCACATGGGCATTCTGTGGGCCATTTCCGTCATGTGGGAGATTACCGAAATAACCTTTGCGCACTTGTTGCCGAACTTTATCGAGTGTTGGTGGGATGCCCTCATCCTGGATGTGATCATCTGCAACGGTCTCGGAATTTGGATGGGTCTGAAGATCTGCCAGATTCTGGAGATGCGCGAGTACAAGTGGGCCAGTATTAAGGACATATCCACCACGACCGGTAAAATCAAGCGTGCCATGCTGCAGTTTACGCCCGAGAGCTGGTCGGCCATTCGCTGGCTGGATCCCAAATCCACGGCGATGAGATTTGCCGCCGTTATTCAGCTTGTGATCTTCTGGCAGGTCACCGAGCTGAACACGTTCTTCTTGAAGCACATCTTTGAGATGCCACCGGATCACTTCATCGTGATAGGTCGCCTCATTTTCATCGGTCTGTTTGTGGCGCCTTCGGTTAGGTAAGTTCTTGTTATAAGCATTTTGAAGCTAATAATATATCTTCTTAATTAATACTCTGGATTTTAGGCAATATTACGTATATGTCACCGACACACGCTGCAAGAGAGTCGGCACCCAGTGTTGGGTTTACGGCGCCATCATGGTCTCCGAAGCTATTCTGTGCATCAAGAATGGCAAGGAGTTGTTTGAGCGCACGCAAGCCATCAACATTGTCCTGTGGCTGACTGTCCAAGTAATAATCTCGGTGGCATTTGTCTACCTCGCGGTTTACTGGCAGGTAAGAGCTAATTTAAACACCACTTGAAATGTACACATGTGCTAATTTGAATATTTCATCCTTTCAGCAGCGGCAACTGAAAAAGGTTTCATCGACGCCCACAAAAAGAAATGAAACTAGTCCTGCCACATCATCCTCGCCCATTAAAGGTATGTAAAGCCATTTAACAACTGCAAGCAACATTAAATGGTGTGAGGAACAAGGTTAAAATAAAAAAGGGTATTAAATTCTGTATGGTTGTTCAAAATGTCTATTGCTGTCTATGGTGGATAATTTGGATAACTCAGAAGCTTATGTTATAACTGGCATTTGCATAATTGTGGCATAGCAATTTTCGATCACTTCAATCCCTTTAATGTTGCCTGCCTTATAACTAACTTTCTTTTTGCGCTTACTGACTTTCTTTGTTATTGGCACAATTTATGGTTAATCACACTGTTTTCTCAACTTTTTGCTCTCCATTTAAATTCTCCTTGCGTTTCTCCCCTTCTGTCTTCTTCTCCAATTCTCCTCGGATTGCATTGCCACAAAAAAAGCACAATTACCAAGGAGTAATTCCATTGATGCACCTAACATCATGCACTACGATATTAAAATTAAAATAGTCTAAACAATTATTGTTAACTTTTATATCTGCTACTTTTTATCTACAATTCTTTCATTTCACTTTTCTAGGTAAATTGTCGCCGCAAAAAGAGAAGAAAGTAAAATAAGAAGTTGATATTAAAAGAACTTGAAAGCTGCAGAAACAAATTGGATCAGGCCATTCTTTAAATTAAAAACCAAAACAGAGAAGAGAATTATGTACATACACTAAAGAAAACTGTACTGATTAAATTAAATACATAACATGTAAATATATATATATGTATAAAAGATATATATATATATTTATTGAAAAGACAAAAGTGGAATTAATTGTTAATAAGAGAATATAAAGGACTTTCTATGATCTAGTGCTAGATTAATATAAACGATTTAATTGTCTTAGCTTAAGCTACACACCAATCTGGCTTTTCTCGAGTTATGTACAGAAGCGCATCTGATTCTAGACCTCCAGGATTGCCGATAGGCTCTTTTTGACCGCATCGCGGGCATAGGGGATGTATGACAGCGAATACCAGGTCATGGCCAGAGATTGTATGATAATGAAAATAAGCGTAAGTCCAGCCTTTTTCCACTAAAAACAAACAAATCAAATAAAAATAATAATAAATCAAATCAACACATCGATTGTCTTGTACTGTTTTCGTTAAGGTAATACAAAATGTACCAATATTCAGAATATAAATGTTAGCTCATGTTAAATTAGGTTTAAAGCTTCCATTTAAGTTTTCTTTATGTAAGTTCATGAAGCATGGAAACGTTTTTCCCCTTTTTTTCATTGAGTAAAAATTTATAACTTTGCAGTAATTCTAAACTTTAAACATAAAGGAAACGTTTTCTACAAAACCTGCAAACAATTTCGTCATGCTATCGATATGAAAGTGGTTGTTTGTGAAAGTTCCAAAACATTGAAAGTGCAATTTAAAATTCGAAACCTAAATAATTTTGCTAATTTTGATTGGAGCATGGACACCTCACCACAATAGCTGCTATGAACGTCAGAACCATCATGACGAGTACAACGATGGTGGCGATCAAACGGGTTTCCGCAAACATTTTCTTGATCTGCTTGAAGGGACCCATGAGGAAGCAAGTACTGAAACCAGAGGAGAGAGACCTTTTAGCCGGCCTGTGTGAAGTACGAGTGGAACCAGTAACGCGCTCACCTGGCCATCGAGATAACATTTCCTAGGGTGTAAAAGACCGCAAAGACCACAATTCCTCTGTGCAAAAATAGGGCGACCGAGCCGAGTAGGGAAAGTAAAATGCCCAAGGCGAAGCAGATGATAAATCCCTTGATCCGAGTGGACCAACTCAAAGTGGACATGTCGTTAATCTGCGTAAATAATTGATATTAGCGAAATGCACTGATAAGCGTTGTCATACAGCTTGGGTCACCATGTGATCAGAGAGGCGTTCCCAGCGGGAAGCACCCACACGACACGACAGTGATAATTCCTCCATTCACAAGTAGTTATAGGCATTTAGTGAGATCAGTCCCATTGGAAACTTCTTCACCTGTGTAATGATACTGCTTTCCTCCTCCGGAGTGGGCTCATCTCCACTCAGAACGCGGCGCAACTTGTCCATTATGTTGTGGTTAAATTGTGTTCAACAGGTGGCTGACTTGAAATTCCCTTCTCTTCTGGGGTTTTGCATATACAAAGATCTGCTTTTATGCGCCGGAATTTTCACAGTACAATAAATCCAAGATCAGACCTGGTGTGACCATAACTGGAACCGTTATAATATACTGCCGGTCTAACAAATATACCAACAATTTTCTATTAAATATTTACCTTAACAAATGTAAGGAATACAACTAAAAACTATTTATTCAAGAACACCCATTAAATAAAGTGTTTGTAAACAATAGTAAAAACAAATATGTTTTGATATCAGTAAATATTAAAAATATAATTTTAGCTTTTTTTTAGCTAACATACCATATTTAGAAACTTTGTTATTAAACTGCTGGCTACATTCCCGCATTCTGGCAACGCCTCCAGCATGTTTTGTTCAGCAATACGTAACATTTTAAGAAATTCACTAAACGCGGCTGAAAACCGAGCAATTACCTCTCAAATACGGAATCTGCGAGGACAACAAACCCGGCACGAGATAGAAGTGTTAGCTTCACCGAGTATAAGCAGCAAAGATGATGACAAGAAGAAAGAGTCTGCGGAACATAAAGGTTCCAAAGAAGTGGCTCTGGATTTCCGAAACCGGGAGGCCCATGTGCCCTCCTTCAATTTAGCGGCCTATGTGAATAACTCGAGTACCCTGCAGCAATTTATCAGTTTGGGAGTGAATCTGCACAGTATAGAAAGGCGAAAAGGATTGGGGGACTTTGTGCTGAAGCTGGATTTCGAGAAGAATGTGAAACCCTACATAACCTTCCTGGTGGACCAGGGCATATCACCCGATGACTTCGCCAGGATGTTCACCAAGAACCCGCTGCTGTTCAAGGAGGACTTGGATGATCTGCAGACCAGGGTGGACTATCTGAAAAGCAAGAGATTCTCGGACGAAGCCAGACAAAGGATTCTCACCCACAATCCTTATTGGCTGATGTTTTCCACCAGACGCGTGGATCGTCGATTGGGCTACTTCCAAAAGGAGTTCAAATTAAGCGGCCATGATCTCCGACTCTTGGCCACCAGAGAACCCAATGTCATTACCTACAATATGGAGCACCTGCGGAAGTCTGTGTTCACCCTAAAGGAGGAAATGGGATTCAATGCCAAAGAGCTAAGTGCTCTGGTGGTTCGAAAGCCCCGCTTATTGATGATTTGTAAGTCTATCTAAATTTATGGTCATATGTGCTTAAGCAACCTATCTTTGTAGCTCCGGATGATCTTGTCGAGCGATTTTGTTATATTCACCAAGATATGGGCCTTCCGCATGCCCAGATTGTGCAGTGCCCAGAACTTTTGGCGTCCCGCGAATTTCGACTGCGGGAACGTCATGAGTTCCTAAAATTGCTTGGCAGAGCTCAATATGATCCGCAAAAGGACCTGTATATATCGCCAAAGACTATAGTGGAAGGCAACAATTTTTATTTCATCAGAAATGTGGCTAAAAGTGATTTGGAGACATTTGATTTGTTTTTGAAAACGAGATGAGAATAAAACGAAACACGAAATAATATAAATTTGTATATTTTTTCAATATTCAGCTTACACATGCATATTTTCAACACTCAAGAAACCACAAAGTTTTACGAAATATTATGTTTTATCATTTAAAAAATACCCGCCTATAAATAAACACGATTGCAGGAATGCCAGATGTCGAAAAACATTGGATTGCTTCCGTTCCCCCATCTGGTCACACTGGACAGCAACAAAAGATTTAAACTACGCATTAAGCTTGTGCGTAGGAACGAATCGTGTTTAATTTTAGTAACTAGCCAGTCGCTTCGGGAGAAGCATTAAACAAAGTTGCAATATTTCGGAGCTCCAGTAGTTGGCTTCAGTCCGGAACAATTAGTTATAGTCAAATCGAGTGCAGCGGCGGAGAAACAGCGCCAAAAGAAAAGTAAAACGCATTTTCCTTCGCATACATAAACAGCAAAACCGAATACACAAACACAGGCAGACATACGGAAGGGCCAAAAAACTTGGTCAAACTAACGACAGAATAATATATATAGTTTAACTTTAAAGCAAGTTAATAGGCAATAAACCCAAGTTATCTTTGGTGTTGACGTGTTGAACACACATACCGATAAACAAAAACAAAATGTCTACGACACCAAAATCAAGCGAAGATTTGCTGGGCGGTAAGTTGTTTGTTTTTGTGTGCTTTGCTCTTTCATTCGTGTTTTTTTGCGTCTCCCCTTTTTGCAATCATAACAATAACACGGTAACCCGTTATGCCGTATAGTTGTTGTTAACATTGTTGTGTATCTGACATGTGTATGTATTTATGGAGTTATTTGTAATTTGTTGGTATCTGCATCCCATATTTTTTCAAGGCTTTGCTTTGTCTGCTTTCGAATTCGTTCTCTTTTTATTTGTTTACTTTGCACTTGCTCCTTGCAATGGGGGAGGGAAAGAGAGAGAGACAACAAAGAATACGCAAAACTCCGAATGAAAACAAAGGAGCTGCCAACGCACTTTTTTTCTCACTCTCTCAACCTCACTCCCCGCTCCTGCTCTTTCGTTCATGTCATGTCTTGTTTCTTTACTTTGCACTTGGCCCGCTTGACGTCAGTTGTGGTTTATTTTCTGCGCTCTCCCTTTCTCCGTCCGACCAGCTCTTCTTCTTCCGTCTGGTTTGCTAAAATAATTCGTAAATAAATACATTTTGCGGGAGGGCATTTCCCTATCAGTCGTTTCCAGAAATTGCGCCTTTGGCATTCGCTTCAATTGTATTTGGGCTGCTCACTTTATCAACATCCACGTTTACACTCGGGAAAAAATTAGGTTATATTATTTCACTGTCAGATAAACTACATTTGCTAAGTACTTCAGCTCAGCTGCTTTAGTCTGGTATAATAATATTCAATAAATTTACATCGCAATTTCTAAAAATATTGAAAGATTATCTTTATTTTGTTGACAAGGAGTATAATCTTTTTGGATGACTGCTTAAAGGCACTTTGTTTGTTTGTCCAAAAGGTTGTTGACTACCAAGGAAATTATACTGCAATTCCTCAAAGTCACTCACAAAAGTAATGCCGGTTCAAGCTAAATTTGTTTTTTCAATGTATGTATGTATTACATACAGTATTACTCTAATCAGTTTGTGCCAAAATCAAACCATATGTCACTTTTTTTAAGGCTAACACAGTTTTGTTGTCGAATTCCTTTATCAAGGAAGTAATTTTAAAAAAATACTAAGAAATATTTTATATGTATTTCAAAGTGATATCAATCCGGTAAAGCTATAAAAAAATGCATCTTGTTGTTAATACGCCGGCTTGGGATTTTTTGACCTTAGAACACGTGTGAAATGACCAACTTAGGTGAAACATTTTCTCTTTGTGCACTCTGCCATATACTACGTAAGAAATCGTATCATGATACCGAGGAGTCATCCATCCAATAATAAAGGCGGTTCAATGGGCCCAACTCAGGGTCTTTTAGACAGCTGCGCATCAAGATGCACACTCGACAAAGCCCGAAGAAGGTAGGGCAGAAAGAGAAGGCGAGTGAGTGGTAGAGAGGGACGGAAGGTGCGAGAAAGAGAGGGGTGAGTCGCGGAGAGAGAGAGAGAGGGAGAGAGGCCTACGTGCCGTGAGTCACAAAGCTATTGTATTTGTTTTTGCCACCCTTCGGTACGCTTTTGCTTTTGTTTCCATTTTCGCTGCACATTTTCGTACCTGTAACCCGGATTCCCGATAACGCTCCAAATATTGTTTACCTGTGCAAAACTTCTGCGTCTACCTGTTCCGCGGGCATTTCCATTTACCATTTTCTATTTTCGCAACATGTCCATCATAAATGCATCATCCTTTTCGTCTAGACGCCGCATTTAGTATTAGATTGTCAGCATGATTGGTCTGCCACGTGAGTGATCTGAACTATTCTGTAACTGATTCCACCGCGAAAGTGTCTAAATTAGTTGATTGCAAAGTGATAACTAAAAAAGGAAACAATCCTAGAAGGAATTTAAATTTATAATGTTACAAAATGTTATTATATTTCAAAGAAATCCTGAATTTTTTCTGCTACAACAAATATTACAAAGATGAATCTCAAAGATCCATTATTAGGTAGTTTTTAGGAATGTTCTACTGTACTCCTTATCATCCGATCGGGCACTGCTGTCATCAAGTTACTTGCACGCTTCTCGTGCCCATATTGCATCGCCAGTTTGTCTTTTTTCTCAATTTGTTTTGAAAATGAAATTTTCTCCGTGGCGCATTGATAAGCATCGATTGGATGGATTGTAAACAGAACATGTGTGCTGCTTTACATGTATACGCAATATGCCGAAAATAAACGGAAATAGTCCGAGTTGTGGGGTTTTTAGCCTTATCAATGGGGCACGAGCACTCGAACAGATATACACAAATGTACATATTATAGATCGGGTAACGAACCGAACGTGTGGCTTGGATGTTTTTACGTTTAAACAAACAAAAACAAACGAAAGGCTGACGATGGCACAGTTTTAGAGCCCCTGCCGCCTCAAAGTGGCTCTAAAAGCGCATGTCTTGCTAAGTAAACAAGAAACCTACATAATTTTATCAACAAGTGTAATTTTAGACAAGTGATTACTTTAACCTGATTTTCAAAACCATTAAAAGTGGTAGCTTAACTAGTAAATTTGTAAGCGATCTTTTTTAAATTTGTTGAATTTGAAAATTGTGAACATAGAACGTTCTCGTTTGTAATTTAGTTGATCGAATTTGCACTTTTTTGAATTGCTGAATCGATCTTATGACTATATGTATCTCATTCATTAGATTGTCATTGTTATTAAGTTCATACTCCCTAAAACGCAATTCGGTTTTCCTATGTTTATTCAACAAGCCCCAAAAGGTTTCGACACCCGAGTTTATGCTACATTTAAGGCAACCAACTACATAATATATTAAATTTCATTCCATTTGGTTTTAGCTTTTACCCACTTGGTTCGGTAGTTTACCATGCTAATGATTTATTTGTGCTGCTATTCGCTGTTTTTTAGAATCTTGGATCGAACTGAGCACAACAGCTGCGATGGCTGGCATCAAGAGCCCCGACAGAATCACTCCGTTGCCATTCAACAATGGCGAGGAGTACCTGAGACTTCTGCGTGAGGCCCAGCGCGAGTCGAACCAGTCGAGCCGTGTCGTCTCCTTGGCCAGCTCCCGTCGTGATACGCCCCGTGATAGCCCCAAAAGTCCACCGAACAGCCCCCAGTCGGAGCTCTGCCCGGACGATGAGCTCAGAAACGTGTACATCAACTACTGGAACAAGGTAAGAGATGAGAATCGAGGCGGAACCGAGGTGATCTTGCTAACAATGTCTTTGTTTTTGCTTTTGCCAGGGAGGAGACAAACAGAATGCAGACAGTGGAGATTGGCTAAAGAACTGGAATCGCAATGCCGAGGAGCAGCCACCCAAGTATGAACGATTTTTTTATAGTTATTTAGCTAAGTCGTATACTGACAGATTTTGTGAGTGGTCTCTAGAAACTAGAACTACGTTTGGAGCATTGGCGGTCTTTCAAAAAAATATTGTTATTCATTGAACTAATATTTACAGAAACTGGAATTTCGAGGCTGTGAGCGGTGATGCAGGCGACGAGGAAGAGAAAAAGAAGACTAACACAGGCTACTCCATCCGCTTGAAGCGACTGGGCTCCAACTCGTTGTTCTCCCGCGAAATTCTGTACTCGCTGCTGGTAACCAACGTCCTGTCCCTGCTGCTGGGAGCTGGCTTCGGGTAAGGACTTTTGCAATCTTCTCCAGATTCATATTCAAAATTATTTATATAATTGTTTATAGATTATGGTTGAGCAAGCGGGGCATACTCCTTACCCGTGTGGTCATTGACTGAAAGATGCCATAATCAAAGAAGAGGAACAGAAAATATATAATCGTTTTCAATCTATTAATATGCACATCAATCGAAAACAGAACACGATGCGTTCCATATAAGAAATCGAAGTATACACATCTATACAGCCAACCGTATTCCAACTCATTTGTATTTTTATCGGAAGTCTACATTTTTGACACCTTCTCATTCAGTACATACCTATAAAAATGTAATTACTAAGCCAGCAAACTAAAACAGGCCTTTGGGCGGCGGGGGTTGAAACTAAACATTTACATATTTTATATAATTTTATATATCTAACAATATATCAAGGCAGCAAATCTAATGATACAGAAAAGCATTTATAGATGCTCTATATATTTTGCTTTAGCCGTATGTCTTAGCACCCAACCGTACATTATATCCAATACAAATGTACGTGAAACTTCGTGTTAAGAATTTCAATTTCATCATCATACTTCATATAGAACATCCATAAACATTTGTAGACATATTGTAGTTGAATCGTACTGTATCCTGGTCGTACTTTTTGTTGAACAATCGTCAAATGTTTTGATTTAATAAGCATATAAGAAAACCGAAAAAAAACCCCAATATGGCAAACCAACATAAGTTTATATATAATGTGAGGGAGGGGTTATCCCCACAAAACAAAAAAAAAACGGATTAGTTGTAATGATTTTTTATATTAAAATATTTTTCAATATCTATTTAAAAGAAAACCTGAAAACATTAGAGTTTGTCTTTTGTGGATTTCAAGGGATTGAAATAGTGGCTTAGAAAATGTTGAGAATTTCCCAATCCTAGACGGATTAAGTAGTCTACTATTTCTGAAAAGTATGATCTCATTTTCAGGGAAATGCTAAAAGGTATTTTAATCGCTAGATGTGTATTTGTTTGCATTATCAAACTTTCACATAAGGGCTTTACCTGCCTATATATAAAGCGAGAAAGGCTTTATTTGTCAACAGGTCTTTGCCATCAATATTTGATTTAGTCAGCAGTGAATTTAAGCTTTTAGATTTAGTTAGTTGACAATTTATCCTTGGGGTTGTCAATTACCAAGCGAATGCAGTAAGAAACCCAAACTTCGGACCTATATAAATTCAGAAAGTAATTGGTTTTGAATTAATGGAAATCAACAGCTAACAAATTTGAGTTGCTTTAGCATTTGTTATTTTATTTAAATTTGTATTAGGTAATAGTGTCTAGATACTTAGGTGATTAACACAGTTCCGAAACTAATACATATTCCGTGTGGTTGCTGGGGAAAATCCTCGTGACTTAAAACAATATTCAATCGACGATTTGTAACTCAATGAAACGATCGCTGGGTGATCGTTGCTAGCTTTGATTTTATGCTATATAGACAGCCATAAGACGGTGAATCGAGGCAAAAATGGGATGCCAATTTAAGTACAGCATAATATCAGATTAAGATCCGCGTATTATATATATAGCCTACATCTAGATGGTTAACTATAGCTACCATTTGAGCCAATATCAGAGACGACATCGAGATGCGGAGAGAAGAAAAAATATGCTTAACTGACTTTTGGCCCTGGGCTATTCCTGGCCATTGGAGTTTCTGAGATTTTGTGCGGCGGTGCTGGTGGAGGGCGTAGGTGAGCCAGGGGGCGTGGGAGTGCGAAGGGAACGTTCGAAATCCTCCGCCAAATCATCGTCATCTCCCTCCTGTTGCCAACTGTCCAATGCGGAGTCGACATCAAATTCCGGGAACTTTAGCCTTTCCCCCGTGACATCCACCAGCCGAGATCGCAATCTCTGCGATATTTCCTCCAGCTCCGTGTATTTGCGCTTGATGGCCTGCCCCAACTGCAAGTGGCCCAGTTCCATTGACTTCTCGAACTGATCAATAACGGTATCCACACTGGGCGATATGGGCTCCACGTGCGCCTCGATTCCCCCAGTCACCCGTCCATTAAAGTCTACTATGTTATGCCATCCGCTGGGAAAGCCTCCACCCGCTTGTTTCTGGTTTAGATTTAGTGCAGCGAATCCTATTATGGCATCTTCATGGGGCGAAGGCTCTGTGGTGCCGTTTGGGCTAACAGTTGCCTTCTTCCACAGCTTTAGAATGAAAAGCTTCTGGGGCTGCAAAGGAAAAATGGTAAGATTAGACAATCTCTTAGAAAAGGTTCTTTAAAGCCTTACATTACTGCGATAATCGCGGCTGACGTCCACCCGGAACTTGCTGAGCCACTGGGGCTTGGTAGATCTGGGGAAAACTGGTGTGGCAAAGACCAATCCTTCGTGTGACTTGTAGGTCTGACTATTGCAATTGATGGCCTGGAAGGTCACATAGGTGTTGGGAGGGTCATTGGGCGGGAATCGCTTGGCTGCCGACTGGCGTTTGACTTGCTTCTTCGATTTCCCATAGCCAGGATTTAGAGGCAGCCCAGCAGCTCCCACGATGCGCAATTGGAAGCTGAAGGTACTGGGCGCTAAAGGAGCCGGTGGTGGCGGCATTACTGGAGCTGAGATACTCGGCGTTGGAGCTGCGATGGCATTTTGAAGCATGTCAAGTAAGTCGGTGGTCCTACTTGGAGCCGGCACTTGGTTGTTGTCATGGTCGAAGCCACGCTGCTGCTTCAGTTGAGCAATCTGCGACTCACTTCCAATGGCCAGGAGCACCTTGAGCTCACCCAGAGGTGTCTGGTTCTCAGCACTGACAATGGGTGCCCAGCCATCGATGGAAATCACTGGTAGCTGTAGGACATAAAATAAAGTTAAAAGCAAATGAAATATTTAAATCAAGGTATGCCGTATTAACAAATTTAAATATAAACCAGAAATAATAATTAAGGCTTATTAATTAGGGTTTATTCAGTAATCACACCTTTCCCTTGCACAGGTGATTTGTGATGCTGGAGTCTCTGTACGCGATGAAGAACTGGTGCAGCGGGAGTCGTACGACTGCACCCAAGGGACGCAGCTCCATGACCAGCTGCTGCCGCTCGACGCTCTGCAGGAAGCGCTCATCATTGATGATGGCAAACTGCTCCTGCAGCTCGAAGGATCCTGCATCGCTGATCTTGGCCAGCAGTGGCTGCGCCTGCCAGAAGGGCTGAAGCGATAGCTCCTGGCAGGCGGTCTTATTACCCGCCGTTAATTGACGCAGCTCCCCGGCGTAGAGATAACCCCTGAGAAGACGGACTTTATTGGTCTCCGCCATGAAATTGACGCACTCCAAGATGGCTTTATTGTTATTGTTAGCTTTGGGCGGAGGAGGTGGCGGCGCCGGCGGCTGAGGGGGCGTTACAACGGCCTTCGAGTTGCAGTTAACTGGAAAATTTTTAAAACAAGTAGGATTAGTAATGTAGTCTATACTTAAGATAGTAGACCATGCATGGTGGCATTAATCAGAGTTCAATGTCGTTCAGCGGACCTTGAACCCGCAGATTCGAATTAAGCAAGCTTCAAAAACTGAATCAGCGGCGATCTTCGATCCGGTGCTTATCGCCTTGACAACAGACAGCAAATCGGACTCGAAAATCGATTCAAGCAGAACAAGAAATTGCGGCGGCAAGCGGGTAAAACCGGGTGAAATCGGTAATATCGCGTGCACCACAAGCGGACAACTGACAACTTGCCAGATACTGGAATCGGTTGGGCTAAAAATAGACCTCCAATAGATCTCAGATCTGGCAGATATTTAGGCATTTTAAGCGGTGGGCTGAGTGCGCAATGTGTGATGCAAATTATAGGATAGTAATCATTGGATTAAAAACACAGCAAAGAAACGATTAAAATTTTTCCAAAATTCTTCAAGTTTAAGAAATGACTAAGCAATTTAAAAATAATGTTTAAAGCGTTTAGAACAACTATTTAATGTATAAATAATATGAATAATAATAAATTATGTGGCCTGGTCCAAAAATCGATAAATCTTTTAACACTTTTAAGACTTTAAACAAATGTAACATCCGCGTTTCTGACGAAAGTCAGTTCATGTAATTTGCTAAAAATTTCTAGTTTTCCCCAATACTATAATAATACCATGTACAGTATTAACCTAACCTATGAAAAATCATAACCCTCTGTGCTCGACGGTCACAAACAAAAGCTGTTGGAAAACAAAATGTATGATTTAAAAATATAGCTGGGGTAGAGAAAACATAAAACACGAAACAGATTTGTTGTTTTTGATTTTGTTGGTTGTTTTTTGTTTTGTTTTGCTTTCTTTTTTGAAAATGAAAAGTATTTATTGACAGAATGATGGGCAGCACTTGGATAACGGCAATCAATAATGTATAGAGTAAGTGCAGGAGGCGTGGGCGTGGTTGTGGGCGGCTCGTGTAGATTTGGTATTGGTATAGCATTTGCTGTTCTTGTTGGTGGTACAATTGGTAGTTGCTGTGGCTGTAGTCGTGTGGCTTAGCTAGTATCAGATGTATTCGATTTGGGGGCCCAAGAATCAATGGTTCTTGCGATTGGCGACCACACGACATTAGTCATATATATTCACCTGCTGCCTTGTTTCCACTTTCGTTCTTTTGGCCCGGTTGCTGCTGCTGTTGCTGCTGCTGCTCCGGGCTAGCATTCAAATTCTGGAGCAGACTGATCTTCAAATACACGCTACCCAGGTGGACGTCGCGACGCCGAATGGCAATGCACTTGCACTGCTCCAACAGGGATGCCTTGTAGAGCTCCCTGAGTTCCAGGCGACCCATGCCGAGCATTTCGTTGAGACAGGTGCCGGGCTCGCGCCACCAAACCGTGATGTCTACATGGCCAGCACTCTGATCCGGATCCTGTAGGGTCTTATCCTCCATATCGACCTGGCGCTGAGCCGTCTGCCCGAAACGGGTGCATTGGGTCAGACTCTGGAACTTCTCCGACTCGAACTGCATGATGTGGAACATCGATTGGCGCGGCACTTTCCGGATCAAGTCTCTCGACAGCTGGCACTCCACGGTGAAAATGGGTCTCACTTCGTTTTGAACCAGTTCCATGCGTTGGGTTCCCTCCGGCTGCAATGTCAGTGCCTCCAAGTGGAGCTGCAAGGCGTTGCAGCTGCGGAAGAGCTCCGGTGTCATCACCAGCTCATCCTCCTCCGAATCCTGGGCGATTTGCTCCGACTCGGCTTCCGGCCACAGGACCTGCTGCTGTTTCTTAATCTTAAGGGGCTCGGCGGAGGCAGCGGTGGCGAAAAGAGCCACCAGGTCCGCATCTAGTTTCTTCATGGCCTCCATTAGCTCTACGTTGCTGGCGGTGCCTGTAATAAGCAGAAGTATATGCAATCGTTACTTATATTGCTTAGAAACGGACATGTTTGCAAATTTACAGGCTTTTAAGCAGGGGAATTAATGCGATCCGATCTCCACGATGTGAGCTTGCCAAATGAAGGCCTCTTTGCGTGAGAGATTCGAAAAGCCGGTATAAAGAGAAGTACTAAAACGCAGAAAGAGGAGCCCCAGCAATCGCGTTCTATGCTTTGCTCCATACTTCTCCCGCTCTCTCACGTGTTCGCCTATCACTCCATCACATGGGAATCGGGTTTGAAAAAAAAAAACGCACCATGGATACCTTAACTTTAGCTTTTGAATTTAGTTCTATAAAAGGAACATATTTACAACCAAAAAAAAGAATTAGAATTAATAATGAAATCCCGAATAAATTTTCAAAATAATGACAAGTAATATGTTTACATGTGTCTAATCCAAATGTCTAATAATAAATGTAATAATCCATTTTTCGCAAATATTAGTTTAAAACAAAGTCGCTATGGGTAACTACAAATTAGTTTTAACCTTTTGTATGATGCACCCTAAATAAAACTTTTTTGGTTAATTTCTTGTTATAATAGTCGAAATGTTCCAGCTTTCCGTTTTACAACTAATCGTTTTCTACATTCTTTGTAGTCTTCATATTTCTACATAGTTTTTAGATAGTCAACAAGCGTCTTTGAAGGGTATCTCAACCTCACTCACAATTGGTCGATTCTCTTTCAGCATAAGCAAAAGGCAAAGTCAGACCCAAATATATTTTTTGCATAAATTCGCCGACATTGGCAAAGTTCACTGGCAAGAGGAAAAAATTTCCATCAGATGCGAGGCCATTTTATACTCCAAGTCGTCTATATAGGAAAAGGTCAAGGTGTTATCGGTCAGCGGGAAAATCTCTTACCGATTTCTCCGCCTGGTAACGCGCTTAATTTTCGATTGGCTCCAAGATAATTGATAAGAGACGTCCGATGCCAGTTTAGTGACATAATACTGCGCTCCAGACGCGGATTGAAGATTGCGTACAGTAGCATTTGTAGGATTAGTCAGAAAGTGGCTTTAAACTCGTAACTAACGCTTCCCCGTTTTGCCGGTCATCAGACATTCGCAACGCTAATTAAAACCCATAGAAATTCGCATCGCATTTAGCAGAGTAGTGAAATGGGAAGGGGGACTGGGTGGCGCAGACGTCTTATCAAGCCAAGGCTTATCGATCTCGACCCGTTGCTTCCACCCCAATATTTCTCCCCGTGTAGCAACAAAGCATTTCTCTCTTGAATCACGGAATAGTTTCGCTTTTTATATATGTATGTACATGTGCGAGTCGGCTGGTTGCCGGGTTCGTGTGAGCATATGTTCCATACATTTGTATGACTGGCTGATAGTGCTCGCCGAAGAATCGGAATTGAAGGCCAATGGCAGAAATCCCAGACGCGGCTGAAAAAACCTAAAAGGAGGCATTTATTTGAAAGCCAACAAAAGCGAGATACAAAACAAACATAGCGAGATAAAAGTTATGTGTCACCGATATTTTGCAAGCGGGCGGATTATTCTGAAGGGGATCTAAATGGTGGGGCATTTTCTCTCAACTAAAATACAAAAAACCTGTTTATATCTTAGCACCAAAGATCAACCAAAGAGGTTTAGGTGTCTTTAATTTATTGGGTACATTTATGCATAAATCAGCCAAATTTGATTTTAATAAATTTAAATAATTTAAATAAATTTTATATATAAATAATAATTTATATAAATAAATAATTTAAATAAATTTTATTTAAATTATGCATAAATAAATAAACCAAAGATAAATAATTAAAAGATAATAATTCAAATGATTAGCTAACAAGATAATTAAATTTTTATAGTACCTATTGCACTACAAAATTGTACCTATGGACACCCTTGTTCAACTCGATCCGCCCCTGCACCCCTGTTAACTACATATTCACCCAGTCGGCGCCTGTGAGACTCTTTCTCACATTCTCCCCATATTCTCAGGTCCCTAAGAGAGTAAGAGAATCGTTTTTGCCAGCACGTGTTAAAACACGTTCAGTTGTAGACTGAAGTATAACCACACTATTTTCTGAATTTTATGGCTGGATTTGGTTGGTTTTACATAGATACGTCCAAATGGGATTCTCGCATTTTCAAATGGAAAGTTTTTGGCTTTGCCTGTGTTTGAACAAAACCAAAATAAAAACAGAAAATAACCGAGGGAATACATCTGCCAAACAGGAACGCTCGTTTGCCAAGTGATGGGGAAATATATGGGTGGGATTTCAGGGCAGCTTGGTCTATTTATGGGTTTCTGCAATTGTTGTTAATAAATTATCTTTTGGTCATCTCTTTTGCTACTGATTGGACAATGTTGATGGGCAAAACAAACAAAAAGCCAGACTGTTGCGTAAGAGTCAACAAACTGCCGTGAATGTTCTGCTTCTAAACAAATAGGAAAAGCAAAATAGAAATGTATAAATAAATAGCAGGGAAATGTCAAGGAAATTAGAAAACAAAAACCAAAATAAACAGACGCGGTCGTCGACTGACTGTATCAAAGTGGCTGATTAAATAAAGACAATGTTTGACAGACATAGCGTTTAAACTTTAACCCAATAATTCACAAATGCACAAATATTTTCCTTATTATGAAACAAAAACAATATGCAAGCTAAGAAATGGAATATTAGGAAGACCTTTCGAAACATTTTTATTCCATTCATTCAGTTTGGATTTTCATTGCCTACTGAAAATAGTTCCTAATGTTTTACAATTTATTTATTTCACGGCTTTGCTTCTAAAATTATAACAAACTTCAAATTTTAAGCTAAATAAAGATTTGTTTGAGCTATAAAATCGACGCCTCCTCCATTTCAATGATATACTTCAGGGCGGAAAATTCCCCTCTCTTTCCCTTGGCAGCATTTTCTTCTGGGATATACGATGCCAACAGAATGCTTATAAGCACAGAGATAGCTCCAAGCATAAAGGGACCGGCCACAGTGCGATCTCCACTTACACTCTCTATCAAAATCCGATCTTCACTCAAATCCATGTCGGATAGGTAGAATACGATACCGAACAGGGCGGGTCCAAGTCCATTGCATAATCCCGACATTCCCGAGATCATTCCCTGGACTGCTCCCTGAGTTTCGCTATCCGTGTAGAGGGATAAATAAAAACTCACGGCCGGAAAAGTGATGGAACTTAGGGCAGCTACAATTCCAGCCAGCCACATTTGCCACTTTTCGTGTCCTATGGCGTACAGTATAAGTTGCAGCAGTTCCAGAATTAATCCCAGTATTATAACTTTCTTGGCACCCAATGCTTTCACTATAGATCCCAAAGTCACGTTTATCAAAATGCTTAATATGGCAATTGAAGCCACCAACGTGGAGAGTTCCATAAAATCAAATTCCATTGTTAGTTTCAGATAGGCTGGTACACTGGAATATTCCCCAGCTTCGGGAAGTAGAAACATGAACACCACTATGCACAATAGCAGGATATTGGGATCCGAACCTACTCTTCGTAGGGTTAGAAAGGGATCCGCTTGTTTCCAGCTTAGTCCAGTGGATCTTACGTTTCTTAGTAAACTTTCGGGAATAGCCAGAAGTACAAACATCACGTTCGTTATGGAGACCAAAGTCGCTATTAACACCACAGTATTTATTCCGTAAAGATCCATTATGAGATTGCCCAAAGCTGGGGCGATCACCATACTGGCTGCGAAAGTGGCCGATACCAATCCATAGGATCTAGAGCGTTCTTCCTTTGTGGTAACATCCGCCACATAGGCAAAAACAACGGAGAAGCTAACGCCCAAAACTCCACTGATCGAACTGATCACAAAGAACCACCAGTTTCCGATGGTCATCATAGGTATGGGTAAACAAGTGAAGAACACTGTTATAAGGAGCAGCAGCTTTCGCCCATATATATCCGATAACGCTCCGATCATGGGCGCCGATAGAAACGATAGTATTCCCTTGACACCCATGACCAATCCGTTCATTAGAAACGTGTGGTCTGGGAAGGTTTCTTTTAAAGTGCTTATCATCGGCATTGTCAGCAAGCCCCAGGCGAAGTATTCCAGAAAAACAACTACTAGTATGTGTCTAACACTTGGCTTTCCAATTCCCGAAATGGAGGCCAGCGATACGAGTAATTTTTTCAGACCGATCTTGAACATATGTATACCTTGGGAGTACAACATAGAGAATACTAGGTTCGTCAGTTTGAAAATTCAGTTGAACTGAAATTACAATTTGTATGGTCTTCCAGCGTAGCTAATACCTTTTAGTGGAGATAGTAGTACCTTTAATAGTTAATGATACGGTGAGTCCTAAAATGGTATAATAGCTTGACGCTTTCCACATGTTCGATATTTGCCGCAAATCCAAAATTATCGAGATTTTAAATTGGTTGGATTTTAATAAAAATTATTTAAATTACAATTTACTTAAACCTACGTTCTCTACAATCTTAATTATCCCTATTTTATCCCATTCAAGGATTGTTTATGTTAGAGGTTCTAGCATCTTCCTTTTTAAGGGAAACCTTCAGAATGAAACCGCTCAAAAAGATTGCCACAAATACACTAATGGCACCTATGACGAAGGGCATTCGAATTGGTGAGTTAACTTTGAGATTATTCTCCGAATCATCCTGGAAAATGAAGAAGAGTACTCCGAAAAAGGCAGGTCCCAAACCCTCGCTCAAGCACTCGATTCCAGAAATAATGCCCAGTACAGCCCCTTGATTTTCGGGACTGGCATAGATGGAAGCAACCGCATTACAGGCAATAAGAATTATTGTTGCAAAGGCGGCGAAAATACAGCTTAGCCAGTACATCCAATGATGAGTTCCAAATCCGAAGAAGAGCAACTCTGATAGCAGAAGAAATAATCCCAGTCGGATCGACCACTTGCCCCCTAATATGTTTATAATATAGCCCAAAAGAAGATTGGTTATGATCGCCAGCACAGACAGTAATGCCAACATCATGGACACCTCCTCATATTCAAATCCCAAATGAGTTTTCAGATATACTGGCGCAGTAGAATCCACTCCCGCAAAGGGCCAAATGGACAGGAATGTTATGAGGTATATCACGAGCAGGTTCTTATCCTTACTACTTTTACGCAACACTTCCCAAAGATCGGAGGAGTTTAAGGGGGTATTATCATATTTCTCCATTTCAGTTAAATCACTGTGTACGTTTTCTTCTTCTGTGTTGAAATTTTGGTTCTGCTCTTTATTGCTGACTAGATTCTGTGAGAGGCTGTGGTTGGGTTTGCTCGCTAAAACATTGTTTTTCAACTCTTCTTCTCCATTTAACATGTCTTTCTTTTCCTTTGGCTGTATGTCGACTACCTTGTCCTCCACCTTGTTATCATTCATTTCATCCAACACAACCTTTTTTCTCTTTAGAATTAAGCTCTCTGGCACCGCAAACATGATAAACAAGATATTGATCAAGCCAGTGATGGCAGCAATCAAAACAACTGATCCAGACCCGTACAATTTCATCAAATAGTTCCCCAACGATGGCGAAAAAGCTATTCCAGCGCCGTAACTGGCCGCCACATGGCCATATCCTTTTGAACGATGCTCCACACTGGTCACATCCGCCGCATAGGCCAATGAAGCGGAGTAAGTGCTCCCACAGACGGAGCTCACAGTGAGTATGGCGAAGAACCACCAGCTCTTCAACATCATGAATGGAATTGGCGCGTAAGTGGTGGCCACAGCTAGCAACATCACCACTTTTCGGCCACGGAAATCAGAAATGGCGCCCATTACAGGTGTGGTCAGAAATCCCAGGATTCCTCTAACTCCGTAAACTAGTCCATCGACGAGAAGGACGCGATTTCCAAACGATTCCGAGAGTTTTTCGATGAAGGGCACGGTGAGAAGACCCCAAGAGAAGTAGTGGATAAACGTAACGATCCCCGCGTGCCAAACACTTGCTTTTCCGATTCCAAAACGATTACCCAATAATTTCAGCAGGGGTCTCAAAAACTTCAACTGCCCCATTATAAGTGTTTTGTCCGCGAACTAGCTAACACCAGAATAGCCTGACAACTCCAGTTTAAAATTCAATTTATACGTCTCAGTCTTATAGCAAATATAGTTATTGCTGCACTAGAAAAAAAATGGTATTCGAAAATGGGGCTATTACAACTTTTAAGAAATATATCGTTTTCACTTGTAAGATATTGCAGCTTTTAACATTCATGTTTAGAATATAAATTAAGCTCCTTGGTTTTAATAGAATAAATGTAATGTACACAACAAACCATTATCGATTATGATTAATCAATTTTAGTTTATTTTAAACTAGATTTCAAAAAATTGTATTGAATATATTTACATTATTCATCCCAGCTAACAAACATTTCCCTCTCTTGATAGTGAGAATAAAAACATTGGGTCCCCATTTATAAGTAACAAATAATATATTATTTGAAACAAAAAAGGAGAGCAAGTTTTTTTTTAAATGTAAAGTCATCACATTTAGAAACTTTTTAAGGGAAAACCATAAACAATTATTTAACATATTTTCGTGCCTTAAATATGGTTTAGGAATTGCCGTCTGACTGTGAATAAATAGTGTAATTTTCCTAAAGCTAAACCAGCTCTCAAATTTAAAAATTTTCTGTTCTACATTAAAATATATGACCATATTATAAATATTAAATCTATAACAATAGAGAAAATGCTATAGTCGACTTTCTCGACTATCAGATACCTGTTAATCAGCTGGAAAAAAGTTTAAAATGCATTGTATATGGTAGGTAAAATGGTAAAATCAATTGTTTTGTAACCATAGCCCTTAAACCCCCTCAAACTAAGACCTGTACTATTGGTCGATAGAAATTTTGTTCTGTTGTTTTCAAATGCTATCTCAGCTTTCTAGTGTGTTTTGTCCTAATACCGCAAGTCAACAGTTATGGAAAAAATATTTGCCTGTTCTCACATTTTGCTTGAAAACGACTTAAATGATTTATTATACTTCTTACTCGTTGAGTAAAAGGGTATACTAGATTCGTTGAAAAGTATGAAACAGGTAGAACGAAGAATATAAAGTTGACTATATTCTTGATCAGGATCAATAGCCGTGTCGATCTTGCCAAGTCCAGAAGGACATCCGTCCGTATGATACCAGGAACTATTAAAGCTAGAAAGTGAAAGAGGAAGGAATACAAAGACATGGACGCATGTTGCCACAGCCACTCTAACGCCCGCAAACTGCCACGCCCGCAAACTGCCACGCCCACAGTGTTAAAAAATATTTTGATATATGTAATTTCATTTGTCCATATGTCTTGTAAATTTCTATCGATTTGACAAAAAACTTTATGCCACGCCCATCAACCTCCCAAAACTGTCACACATTTGAAAATGTTTTGATATTGGTATATGTAAATTTCTATCGATATGCCAAAAAATATTTTGCCACGCCGACTCTAACACTCATAAGCAACACAAAACTGTCACGCGCACACTTTTGAAAAAATTATAAATTTGGTTTAATTTCATAAATTGTTTTCCAATTTCTACCAATATTCCAGCAAATGTTGAAATTTCTCGTTCGCCGTTTCACTAGCTGAGTAACAGGTATCTGATAGTCGGGGAACTCGACTATAGCATTCTCTCTTGTTTTGAAGTTACTTTGGGAGATATATCACTTTCTCGGTATTTGGTCCAAAAACCGAAAGTTTATTTAAAAAAAAAATTGTTTTGTTTGTTTAAGTCAAGTGCAAAATAATCTTTCGATCTAAAAATTAATATTAGAATTGTTGTATGTTGTATGGTGCAATCGTCACTTGTTTTTACCTCGTTAAGGGGTGTTTTTGTTTGATTTAATTGAACTAAAATCACAATTGTTCTTCTTTTTGTGGGGAACAGATAGGTTTCGATAAGGGGAGTCCGAAAAGCAGGTTCGAAATTGTATGTCTTCTATATGTATGTTATATGTTTAAAAAGTCGATATTAGCCGTTTATTAGCGGATATAAGCGTTTTTATTGGTTAAATACAAAATGATAATTCGCCGGAAAACTTATATAACGTTTAATTAAATTACAATTATTTAAAGCTACGTTCATTACAATCCGAGTCATAGTAATCATTTATATCTAGTTTTAAATAGCCAAAATCTTGTCATCTTTAAATTTTGTTTTTGTAAGTGGTTCTAGCTCATCTTCGGTGGCCTCGTCTGAGATCTTATAGATCAATGGCTCCTTTTCAAAAGTTTTTTTTTTAATTAAAAATGTCAAGACGACCGCCACAAATACGGCAATGTCACTTATGACGAAGGGCATTGGAATTGGTGACTTAACTTTAAGATTATTCTCCGCATCATCCTGGAAAATGAAGAAGAGTACTCCGAAAAGGGCAGGTCCCAAACCCTCGCTCAAGCACTCTATTCCAGATATAATGCCCAGTACAGCCCCTTGATTTTCGGGACTGGCATAGATGGAAGCAACAGCATTACAGGCAGTAAAAATTATTGTTGCAAAGGCGGCGAAAATACCGCTTAACCAGTACATCCAATGATGAGTTCCAAATCCGAGGAAGAGCAACTGCGATAGCAGAAGTAATAATCCCAGTCGGATCGACCACTTGCCCCCTAATATGTTTATAATATAGCCCAGGAGAAGATTGGTTATGATCGCCAGCACAGACAGTAATCCCAACATCATGGACACCTCCTCATATTCAAATCCCAAATGAGTTTTCAGATATACTGGCGCAGTAGAATCCACTCCCGCAAAGGGCCAAATGGACAGGAATGTTATGAGGTATATCACGAGCAGGTTCTTATCCTTACTACTTTTACGCAACACTTCCCAAAGATCGGAGGAGTTTAAGGGGGTATTATCATATTTCTCCATTTCAGTTAAATCACTGTGTACGTTTTCTTCTTCTTTGTTGAAATTTTGGTTCTGCTCTTTATTGCTGACTAGATTCTGTGAGAGGCTGTGGTTGGGTTTGCTCGCTAAAACATTGTTTTTCAACTCTTCTCCATTTAACATGTCTTTCTTTTCCTTTGGCTGTATGTCGACTACCTTGTCCTCCACCTTGTTATCATTCATTTCATCCAACACCACCTTTTTTCTCTTTAGAATTAAGCTCTCTGGCACCGCAAACATGATAAACAAGATATTGATCAAGCCAGTGATGGCAGCAATCAAAACAACTGATCCAGACCCGTACAATTTCATCAAATAGTTCCCCAACGATGGCGAAAAAGCTATTCCAGCGCCGTAACTGGCCGCCACATGGCCATATCCTTTTGAACGATGCTCCACACTGGTCACATCCGCCGCATAGGCCAATGAAGCGGAGTAAGTGCTCCCACAGACGGAGCTCACAGTGAGTATGGCGAAGAACCACCAGCTCTTCAACATCATGAATGGAATTGGCGCGTAAGTGGTGGCCACAGCTAGCAACATCACCACTTTTCGGCCACGGAAATCAGAAATGGCGCCCATTACAGGTGTGGTCAGAAATCCCAGGATTCCTCGAGCTCCGTAAACTAGTCCATCGACGAGAAGGACGCGATTTCCAAACGATTCCGAGAGTTTTTCGATGAAGGGCACGGTGAGAAGACCCCAGGAGAAGTAGTGGATAAACGTAACGATCCCCGCGTGCCAAACACTTGCTTTTCCGATTCCAGAACGATTACCCAATAATTTCAGCAGGGGTCTCAAAAACTTCAACTGCCCCATTATAAGTGTTTTGTCCGCGAACTAGCTAACGCCAGAATAGCCTGACAATTCCAGTTTAAAATTCAATTTATACGCCTCAGTCTTATAGCAAATATAGTTATTGCTGCACTAAAAAAAAAAATGGCACTCGAAAATGGGGCTATTTTGTTTTTAAAAAATATATCGTTTTCACTTGAAAGATATTAAAGCTTTATAAACATGACTATAAATTAAACTTCTCGGTTTTAAAGAGATAGATTTGATGTACAAAACAAGTAGCGCAGGAATATACTTTTTAAAGATAAACCAAAAACAATTTTTATGACTGTTAGATTTGACTGTGAATAAATAGTGACATTTTTGCAAAGCAAAAACTTATATATACATATAAAACATATATAAAACAAGAGTGCGCTCTAGAGTCGGCTATGACATACCCATTACATAAATTTTTTGTTTTTTATCCCTTTAGGTTTTTGATATGATAATAGATAGATATTCTTAGATAGGCTTGAAAACTTTGTTATGTAAATGTAAATTTATAAAAGCGATCAACATATTTCACTTGGGATTTGTTAATTATTGTAGGAATAAACCCTTCTTATGTTGTAGAGTTTGGAGCTAAGCCTTTTAATAATAAATTAGTATGTGTAGTTTAGACTCACCTGCCATAAGTTCGCTGTTTTGCTGATCCTGCAGCATTGGGATCACCGGCTCGCCGCCAGGTGGCGCATCCGACATATCATCGGCCGCATGATCGTGACCGTGCGCGGTGGGGGCGTGGCCTTGGGTGGGCGGTGGCTCAGCAAAGAGCATCTCGAAGCGCAGCCGGGTCTTGAGTAGGCCGACCCTCAGCTGCTGTTGCTGTTGCACTTGTTCGAGCGGGCCACCGATCTCCAGGTGACGATATAGAGCATAAATTTTGGTTTTATGCTCGAAATGGCTCCAAGTGCCGTTATGGGCGGCGTGTTTACCGTTAGCGTGATGACAGCCTGCTCCTCTGACGTCACAGCAGCCGGCTGATTCGACAGCGACAATTTCGATTTCGGCGGCACTAAGCTGCCGTAAATAATCTAAAAATAACGCAAGGTTTTTTTTCCTCTGTACACGGGGATGCTGATGCCGCTTCTTTTTTTTATTATTTGCCCTTTGCTGCTGCTGCTTCTTCTCCTTACTCTGTTTCCTTTCCTTTTGTTTTTTAATCTTATCCTCCTCGTTTGGTAGCTTCTTCTTCTTACTCTTCTTATCCTTTACCCCTTGCTTTTGACAGAGCTTCTTGTTCTCCTCTTCTTCCCTTTCCGCCTGCAGTTGTTGTTGCTGCTGCTTGTTTGACCTTTTCTTTTGGCCAAACTTTCTGCCTCCGTCGACGTCACAGCTGATCGATTTGCAGCGCTCGTTTGACAATTTATCCGCCTCCTGGCTTTGCCTGCTTTTTCGATTTTCCCAATTCACATTCGTCGTCGGCCGTGGGAATTCCGCTATCATAATTTTTATGCCACTTTTGCCATAATTATCACACTCACTCTCACGCACACACGCACAAAAACGCGAAAAGAGAGGCGGGCGCGCGCTCGTGTTGTTGCTGATTTATTTTTTTTCCACCGCTTAGCCAAGCTGAAAAGTTGAAAATCTTTACACACACCAAACACACACACACAGACTCAGAAAAGTTGGGAAATCGAATTTTCCGTACTATGATTTTCCGGCCATAAATCTGCACGGGCGTAAGTTTCGGGGGAAACTGCTGCAGAAAAGCTCCTGGTCGCAAAGGAAGAAAAATCGGACGGGCTAAGCGTTGCCACCGCTGACGCCAATGTCATTTGTTTTGATTTAGTTGCCGGAGCGATGCCACCTTTAGAAAATACTGAAAAATACCAATGGAAGTCGACCTGCCAATCTATTTTCCGTCACCAAACTTTTCCAGCCTTTTGGCTTTTTTTTTTTTTCAAATTATTTATATTTCTTAATTAAACATAAGATAGACATTTTAATATATATATTGGATTTTTTTAAGGCCATGTTATTGCACATTTAAATGTAGGAACTAACAACAATTAACGATGCCTTTATAATATTTGGAAACTTCAGTTTCCTCCGAAGAACATTTTTATTCTACGTACTTTTGTTTTAATTACGTTAAGACAAGGTTTCAATCTTTCAACTTCTCTTTATTGACGCATCGCTCTAAACATTTCCAACTAATAATTTCCAATCAACACAGACAGCTTCTACACTTCGCTTAGGCAAACAGACGCAGTTCATCGCGCGCCTCGATGCATTTGGGCGGCGAAGGTGTCTCAAACTCGCCCAGCTCGGCGTCGTAGTAGAGAGCAGTGCGGTAGGGACGCAGTTCCCATGGCACCTGCTGCTCCATGGTGGTCAGCGTGACGCCCAAATCCTCAAGCGTGGGCACACCAGTCAGGACCTTGTCAGTAACAGCCTCGCGCTCAATGCGGGCGGGATGCAGACCGCCGATCGGGGTGCCGGGGCAGATGAAACTGTTCAGCTTGGCTTTTAGGAGGAAGGTGGGGTCCCAACGCATGTCGTAGCGCATGTAGCCCCAGCGCTTCTGGTCCTTGCGCATCAGACGGTGGAACCAGTCGACCAGCTCGCTCAACTGATAGCGTTTAGGTCTGGAACAAATACAGGGAATGGACAAAATGCATGGTACAAATAGTTGAGTTAGAGATTGACTTACCCTACAGCCTGGTAGACACGCCCAGCGCTGTCCGGATCCTTGGCGGCGTTGATGATGGCCTGGGCCACGTCCGAAACGTAGACGGGCTGTTTCACGGTCTTCTCTCCCTTGTGCCACAGCGGCATCGAACGGAACTGACGGCGCCAGACGTGGGCGTAGTAGCGCAAGAAGCGATCCTCGGAGCCGTAGATATCCGCAGGACGGATGATCGTGGCGTTGGGGAAGGCGTCGCGCACGCGCAGCTCACCCTCGTACTTGCTTTTCAACCACTCGCTGCCACCCTTGACGTACAAATCCTTGGGGTTGGCCTCCACATTCAAAGAGGAGAGGTGGATGAAGCGCTCCACACCTGCCTCGCGGGCAATCCTAACGAAATAAAGTTATGCAAGTTAGAATCAAGAAATTGGCATCCTACTAATCAATTGGCAAATAAATAATACTGGTAATGTTCACCTAGCGATCCTCTCAGCTCCGTTGACGTGGACATCCTTGAACTTGAAGTTCTTGGTCTCGAAGTCCCTGCCCACTAAGTTAATAACCACGTTCGAGTGCTTGACGGCCTCGCGAATTGAGGCGGGATCTTCCAGATTGTAGAAGTGAAAGAGCACCTGGCCAAGATCACCGGTTACCTTAAGACGGATAACATCCGAATCGTCACCGCGATAGGGCAGGATCATTTGGGTGCCAGATTTTCCCAGTTTATTGCACACATAGCGACCCACGAAACCTGTGGCTCCGAAGACCGTGGCAACAATCCCATTGAAACTGCTACGTCCGCCAGTTCCGCGCTTCATGGCAGCCGGATTGGTGGTCTTCAGTGGACGTGGACCATCGTCCGGCGGGGCAGCAGCGGCGGAATATCCACGTAGGCACAAGACTCCAACCACACCACTGCCGTGGTGCTCTAAATATCCGGAATTAAACAGAGAATGACAAAAGTTAGCCACAAACATCGTATTACATAATTTGATTGCCTGTTGGTTTTCGACGGCAGGCAACGGTACTCACTGGCCAGCTGGAGATTACGGGTTAGTACTATGGCGGCCATTTCGCACCGGCACACTGGACCAACTCGATTCGGTTAATTACACGCTTAAAATCCTAATTTATTTCGGGCCAGGCCAGTTTTTTATTTTGCCCCACGACAGTGTGACCACGGCGTTGCAAATGGAATATACTAGAATTGACAAGTTAATACCAAAAACTACCATGGAACAAGGCTGCCAGACTAAAGAAAAAAATTGACTTGGAAAGTAACAGTTTTTTGTTTGGGTTTTAAATTAACTTGTATAAGAAGATTACTTTTAATATGTATATAATTGACCTCATAACCAGTAGATCTTGTTTGTATGCATCGCATGTAAAAGATGTTTTAATTATCGCTCACCTTTTAAATTGTTGTACTGCATTCAAATATCGGTACATGCAACATATATGATTTTACATTAATTATACTTTATAACGGGGCACTAATAATTTTATCTGAATACAACTGAACAACCTTGCGGGCATCTTAACTTCCTAGCGGTAATTAAAGTGTCATATAAACCACTCTTCTTACTTGGCACTAATTTATGAATATTCGTTGGCAAATAAGACATAAGCTAACCGTGTTCCAGTTGAAATGGAACTGCCTTGCTTGTCACACCGCCAACTTGTTATCTAATGTGCGTGGTTTAATTGCAATTTCCAGGCTTAATTCGGCACGGCTTGGGTTCTATAGACAAAAAATTCAGTTAGCAGTCGCCTTCGAGTTGTGAAACCAAGAGCATCGTAAAAACTTAGTGCTATCTGTTCGAAATCTACCAACTAAAGATTCTACAGATCCAACAACGCCGATAAGCAGTGGAATATAAGTGATTTATCTTGTGGTAAAATTGTTGATATGGATACACATTGTTGCGGTGAAACAAGTATCACCACTAACTAACAAATTAAACTAATCAAATTAAACAGTATGAGTAAACGAGTTAGAACAGAGGGTATTACAGTTTATAATTTGTTTTTAGATTGGTAAAGTTAGTGAGATTTCAGACGAATCTGCCGACTACAGATCCAACAACGCGGATAACCAACGGAATATAAGTGATCTTGTGGTAAAATTGTTGATACATACACACATTGTTGTGGTGAAAGAAGTATCACCACTAACTAATAGGATTAAAATTAAACAGTATGAGTAAACGAATTAGAACAGAGGGTATTACAGTTTATAATTTGTTTTATAAGTTAGTGAGATTTCAGACTAATGACAATATTCATGTTTTGTCTAACCAAACCTCATTTGGCTCGCAGCTTTTTTCGTGCAGTTGAGTTGAAAAATAAAAGTTTGATTCGTCAAAGAACACCACTTTTGGAGGTTTCGAAAAAATGAGTTTTTTTCATGGGAAAAGCTGTCCTGAACCAGGAAAGATGACTTACAAAATATTAGCTTTAAAATTAGTAATAAAAATTTAAGTAGAATGAACTGAACACTATTTTAATGACTTCACTTGTGTGTTTGATAAGTGAAATACATACACACATACAATTTATGTACATACATACATACATATGTGCACAGATCACTGCTTTTGACAATTGAGGATGTAATTCTGCAGAAATTACCATAGATTACCATATATGCATACATATATAAATATGTAATACATTTATTAGGTCACTTTTGTTGTCTCATAAACCTGCCTAGATAACGGCAATACAAACATACCCACATGTGACATGCATAAACAAGCTGAAAATTCCACTCTCCTTTTTCTTCTCAGCTCTCATTTCGCTCTCTTTCATAGCTCACAATGCAATCAGCTGATTGCTTTGATATTGATATTCAACCTGCTCACGCACCTTTTCTCCCCCACAAGCAATATCACGTTTGCTCTCTGCTTTCCCTCCCTCACGAATAGCTTAGCACACACACATGCACTTTACGCTCCCTTTAAATTTGCGGGCATTTCGTTTTGTTTTGCCGGCCGTAGTTCTTGGTGTTGTTTTCACTCTTATTCGACCATCTCTCTTTGCCTTTCATACCCTTACGAAGAGTATTAAAATATTATAGCCGTTTTGCATAAAATTAAATTATTAATTAAAATTTAATTATCTAAATAAAATGTAAGTTTCAACTACAATGGGATTAAATAAACTGTGGTATTAAATAAAACCAAACGTAACTGATTACGTCTGTATATTTTAGTTTTAGCAGAAAAATTACAAATTCGAATCTATTGCCAGAAATACTAAATTCGATTATGCTTAGATATATAATTGGAAAGCTTCTTTGTTATTACACTTTTTATACTCTTTATCATTACTAAAATTTCAAGTTGCAATTAAAAGAGTACTCATAATTCGCCATTGTGATTTCCCTTTTTTGTTTAGTCTGCCATATGTATTTCGCATCGTCTTTTGCGATCATTCGTGTTTGAGCCGCGCTGCTGCTAACAACGCTCCCGATGATTCGCTCCTGAAAAAATTAGCGCGTGTGCCTATAAATATTTTAACCCGCCAACGGAAGTGCGTGTGAATAAAAATAATAATAATAAAATAGGAAAAGCTAAATTTTCCAAGCAATTTACGCTGACGCCTATTTGGTTCGTTTATCGGAGACTAAAAGACGGTAAATCTGCAGTTCCTAGCCACAAAATTAGGGGTCTATAGTGATAAGAGCTTTTTGGCCTTGTCGAAATGCGGTTTCGTATCTGGGATCGTCCAGAAATCGGAAAAACACGCCTTAATTCGCGCAGTTTTGGATACTCGTAGATAGTATATAGATGACTGATTCGTTAGCGGGCAGATTGTAGATCCATTTAGCAAGTGATTATTAAGACGCCTCGCGCCTCTTGGCACCGATGTGAAAAAATATTACCCGAAATATGTATTACTATCTGTGGTGTATAAAAATACATTCGATCAAAATAAATGCTAATTAACGGTTATATCTGTCTACGATCCACCTGCCAGTCGCATCGAGATTGAGCTGAAAACAAATTCTCACCCTAAGCTAATTCAATGCAAATTGATCCGGGCCTTGGCCCAAGTTCTGAAGAACTCAGCACGGCCGAGTTTCCAGTCTCAACATA